TTCCCCTAAATTCTATCTATATATATATACCTCAATATCTTGACATTGTCTTGACAAGGAAAGATTATACTCTTGTGCAGCTTGAAGCTCAGACAGACGACCTTCTGCCATTATCTAGAATAATTATTCAATACACGTGCTAAGCTTACACGTTTGGAAGAAAAAACAATAATTAAAACATGAACCACACTATTAACGATGTAGTTACCTTTATTTCATCAATGGAGTCCTTCAATTCACGCAACTTCGTTTTATCTATAGGCTTCTCAGGAGAAAGGCTTCCATTTGCTATTGCTGGTGATGTTACATGACCTTCACATGCAGCATCCTTCTGCATTTTCAGAGTTATCAATTTTCTTCTATTTTCTTCAAGCTCAGCCTTGATCTCTTCCAATTGACCTTTAATAACCAAAGATACTCAATAATCAGAGAGCAATTATGAAATGCCACCATGCTAATACTTAAATTCTTACATACCGGTTTCAGTGTGCAAAATGGAAATTGTGCTACGCTTATAGAAACAAACAGCTGATTTTCTCATATTGTCTAGAATCATGAAATATACAACCTTTGAGGTGTTTAAGCTCGGATTGATCTGTTGAATGGCTGCTTATGTACGCCTGAATCTGCTCGGTATGTTCTTTGTGCCTCACATGTAAAGTATCAATCATCTCACGCAAGTTTTTGGCCTCCTCTTTCATCAAATCATTAATGCTAGATAACTGGATGGTGGCATCTGGAAAAAAAAAGTTATGTGAATTGTCTATAGCCGTTAAAGTAAAATGAATCGATAATTGGCACACCAACCAACCTTCTGCCGATTTCACAGCATGTAAATTTTGAGAAATGCTTTCAGCTTTCGCCCTCTGTGTAGCAATGGTGTTCTCGAAGAGTCCCATCAATTCCATTGTAGAGGAATGACGCAAAGCAAGAGCTTCTTCAACCTTTCTTACTACCTCATCACTATTACTAGTATCTAAGGAATCAACTTGCAGAAGTCTACATAGAAACATTTCATCAGCAGCGCATGGTGGAACTGAACCTAAATTACATCAAGATAAATAAACTGTTACGCAAATCTAAGCAGCTATTATACTTAAAGAACTGAGAGAGAACTCTTATCAATACCTCGCTTTTTATCTACAATGTCCAAGTATTTTAGAGCCTCTTGATTAGCCCCAGCACGAACTCCAAGCAATATCAGGTCATCTACCAACTAAACCGTCAAAATGCACAAATAAAACCACAGACGCTCTGAGTTAAAATCGTTCTATAAAGCCGGAAAGGAACATGAACACCTGGAAACCAAGTAACTACTGACCTGATTCCAAAGCTGGTTAACAGAGATAAGTTCATCATCATAAGATGTTTGGTAGATTTGCAACTCTTGGATCTTGGTTTCAATATCGTACAGGTGTTTCTTCTGAAGGTCTAACTGCTGGACCAGTTTCTGATTCTGTAACTGTAGAACAGTGGCATCCACCTGAAAACAAAAAAAGAACTCGAAAGTAAACAACATGCACCAAACTCACTCTTGCATAGTCCTTATTTGCATCATTCTGAGACATTGCACACTAGATTGAAGACGAATCATTCATAGACTCCAAACATCAATTTCATAAAAGAAAGATACTATCAAAATATTCAATCAACAGGTAAGCGAGAAGTCTCAGTCGAAAAAGCTTACACTTTTAGCAATAGGGTGAGAAGGTGAAGAATTACGGGCCATAGAAGTCGGAGAAACGGAGTCTAAAAGATGAGGCTTCTTCTGCATCGGCTCGTCCGATTCCTGATTCTCCATTTAATACTCGAAACCCTAAATCAAGATGATCGTTGGTTCAGGCAGAAACTCTAAAAGTCGCAAACTTTTTGAACACAATAGTTGTCTCGTTGACAGAGAATCGCTAATTTCAGTTTAACGGGCGTCCAGAGGCGGAGGAGGTATCGCCGGAGAATCTTCCGAGATTTCTCTACTCGACTGCCCATTTTTTATTTTAACAGATATAGAAAACCCTTAAACGACGTCGTTAGTATGTTAAAAGGCTTATTGGGCCTAAACTACATGAATATAAATACAATAAAAGCCCAACAACGTATTTAGTATTTTATGCCTTAGGAAATTATCGACAAAACAAATTGTAAATACGTAAATTTAATTAATAATATGTTTGAAGACATACAAAAACATTACTTTAATTCAACGTAACTACATAAGTAATTGTATAAAAGTGTTTTTTCCATATTATAGATTATTTTTAACGATTAAACATTATATATTTATTGACTAATTAAAACTGTGCAATTAATAAAAATAAATGATTACTATTATTAGCCCATACTAGTATATCAAGAAACATTTGTGAAATGATAAAAAGAAATGAGTTTTTTATTGTTGTAATTTCTTTTTGTGTTTGAATATTTATCTTTTGATATAATTATCAAAAAAAGTTTTGGTCAATGTGATTTTGAATTTACTAATTATGCTAAAATAAATATTTCTATCACAAATCGATTTTTGAAAATAATAGTCGTAGTCTCAGCAGCCAATCAGACTTTTATCCAAATTGAAAGTAACCTTTACAGTCTTTACAGCCGAAATCTCTACAGCCAAAATTTTACAGTAAAAGTCTATAGTAACAGTCGTTAGCAATCGGCCCCCAAATCTCTTTTCTTTTTTTTTTCTCAAGCTCGACGAATATGTAATGAAAAGAAAATCTGTTTAAATCTTTTCGTGTTTCAGAAGTTGTTTGTCTTTGTTGTAATGACTTGTGACTAGCAACTTCTGAAATAACATTTATCATCACCACTTTAGAAACTTTCTCACATTTTCTGCCCATGTCCAACTAGTTTACCCATTTGGACAAAACTCGTTTTCTGAGTCGACTTCGACACCAAGTGTTGTTCTTCTTCATCATCTTGTTCTGTTTGATAACTGGTGATTAGACTTGAGTACTCTACGTTTTCGTCGTAAACACGATCGAGAATCAAATATAGTATGATAACAAATATTGTGTTTGTAACAAATAGCCAACTGAATTCGATGTTGACCAAGGACTTAGCTCTGTGAAGGGCTTCTTCGGTGGAACACTTAACCACTAGGTGCCTTTCTTCATCGTGGATAGAACAACCCTTGGGGATCAAACTCGGTGTGTAAAGCATGAAACCCATCAGTATGAGCCACACTCCTTGAAAGGATATGCTTGAAGATCTCACAAAGCTCACCAGAAAACTCTTGGGCAAGACAATACCTTTTGATGTTAAGGAAATCAACAGTTAGTACGTCCGTACTCTATATTATATATATAACAAAATGTTAATTTTTTTACTTAAACACATAACTTTGAAAATTCAGGATATGTTTTGGACCGACCTTTATAGAATAAACGAAACCAGCAAGCAATAACATCCGTTTATACATTTCTATATATAAAAATTGAAGAAGTTTAAGATAGTATATAATATTAGGGTCTCAGAACAATACCCATGAGAGTGGTGAGGAGCGAGACGAAGATAATGAGTTGTAGAATCAAATGGTATTGTCCCTCAAGGCCCATGTGATCGGTAGAATGAAAATGGAAGAGAATTAGCTGCTGAGTGAAGGCAGCGGCTGCAGCTAGGAGCAGTGGCGGATCTAGGAAATAGTTTTACCCGTGGCAATAATATTAAATTTGAAAAAATTTAATTAAATATTTTAAAATATTGCCCAAAAAACTTTGACTAAAATTGAAAGAGAAGACGCCCAAAAAAATTCAGAGTCGATGTCTGATGTCTCACGTTTAGTTTCTGGTTTCGTAAAAAAACAAAAAACCCTAACACACTGAAAAAACAAATAGGCTTGTAATGTTAATAAAATAAATTGGGCTTTTGCTTTGTTATGTAGACTTTTTAATTTTAATACTAGTATTATACAACATAAAAGTAAAAAAAACTGTATATGTATATGAAGTTATGAACGTGCGTATAGAAAAAACAAGGTATTGGGGGCATTAAATTTTATTTTAACAGGGGCATAAATAATTTTCCTTAAAAAATAGCATTATATTCCAAAATTTTGACAGTGGCAACTGCCCCTCTTTATGGCAAGGTGGGTCCGCCCCTGGCTAGGAGGGTTAGGCCCTCAGAAGCGGCGGCTTTAGGCCGTACTCGATCGAGGACTAGTGCGAAAGAGGCATAGACTAAGAAGGACATGGAAATGGAAGAATGTTCGAAGTTGTGGAGGTGGTTCGATGGGATGGTTCCGTCAATGTCAAAGGGATGGTGTCTTCTAGGTCCAATGAAGAGCTCCATGGATATAGAGGCTGATGAAGATAGCATGATTAAGTAGAGCTCTAAGTGTCTGAGCTTTGAAATTGGGAACCATGTTGATGAATTGAATGTCTTTGGATGGAGACAGAAGAGTTTTATGTTGTTGAATAAGTGCCATAAGCCAAGTGCTAAGAAGGCAAAACCTGGTAAAACATGTCCCACAAGTGATCCCATGTTGTGGGTTTGTATTATGTCTTAATATGATCTTTTGTTTCTATTTAGAGAGAGACAATAAGGGCTTTTGATTGTGGATAAGTGACAACAATGATTGATTAGTGAATGGATTTAATAAGAGTTGAGGGTGAGGATATTGGCTTAGGGATTATGCATTTACGTGTACGTATACGTATCCATAAACCTGTATTAAATATTTTCATTACTTGCGACACACACAAAAAGATCATCACTAATCACGTGTAATCGTGCTTGTTTACTTTGAGCATACACATGAAGTAGGATGAGAAAGACAGATCACGCGTCATAAAATAGTAAAATACGTTTAATTCATTTAAAACTTTCATTTTAAGTTTAATGAGTTTGTCCATGATTATGAATTCATTATTTGATTGTTCCGTTTGAATTTTTTTTTTTAGCATCTTGTCAATGAACTTATTTAGCCGACGTTGAATAACAAATGTGATGTTTATGAGGAGATTTCATGAGGATGCATTTCTGTATATGTGTATAAAGAAATTAATTTGAATAAAAATTGATTTACATTTTGCTGACGCTTGTTCTTATCATATTAAGTTTATACAGTATTATATATACAATCAAACATTTTTTTACTTCTAATCGATTTTATATTTTGTACAAGTTGCAATGTCAAAATTAAAAACAACCGAATAATTTATTACCTTTCCACGTCTTCACTTGGATTACTTTTCTTTAGCGACTCTATGTCTTGTTGCTCTTCACCACTTTCTTCACCTTTGTCTTTAGTGATAAGAATTGAGTACTCGGCATTTTCACCGTAAAGTCCACTCAGGATCAAATAAAGCGACATGACAAAGATTGTGATTCCAACAAAGAACCAACTAAACTCGATGTTGACTAGCGACTTGGCCCTGTGTAAAGCTTTATCGCTGGAACATTTAATCACTTGGTGTCCTTCTTCTTCATGAAGAAAACATCCCTTGGGAATCAATCTAGGTGTCCAAAGCATGTAACCCATCACTACGAACCACACTCCTTGGAAAGTTATGCTTGATGACCTTACAAAGCTTACCAAGAAACTTTTGGGCAAAGCGATACCGATTAGACTGGTGAGAAGAGAAACGAAGATAATAAGCTGGAGGAGCTTATGGTATTGTCCTTCAATGCCCATGTGGTCAGCAGAGTGCAGATTGAAGAGGAAGAGCTGTTGAGCAAAGGCAGAAGATGCGACGAGTATAGTCAGTCCATGCGAAACATGAGTTGATATACTCCTTGCTTGATCAAGAACTACTGCAAAAACCGCGTAGACTAAGAAGGACATGGAGATAGAGGAGTGTTCAAAGTTGTGGAGGTGGTTTGAAGGGATGGTACCATCAGAGTCAAAGGGTTGATGTCTCTTGGGTCCAATGAAGAGCTCCATAGCTATGGAGGCTGATGAAGATAACATGATTAAGTAGAGCTCTAAATGTCTAAGCTTGGAAGTTGGAAACCATGGTGATGAAGTAAAGGTGTTTGGGCGGAGACAAAAGAGTTTTATGTTGTTAAATAAGTGCCATAGACCAAGTGTAAAGAAGGCAAAACCTGGTGCAACATGTCCCACAAGTGTTCCCATGTTGTGGCTCTATGCCTTATTCTTTAGTTTTGTGTCTATAGAGAGGGAAAGGAGGATTTAGGGATTTGATGATCATGATTAGAGCTCTTATGGGTTTAATAAGAGCTAGTGAAGAATTGAGTTTGAAAAAGGGTCGTCTAGAGTATTCGTTTTGAAAATTCTACAAGTCATTGACTTTGATGAAGTAAGGGCTGACGAATTGGCTTGGGGATTAAGGAGTTTGTGTTTGGCTTTGAGTCTTTTAACCAAATGATGATGATTCAATTCAGAGATCGATAAGATTATATATTGAAAAAAATTGGTTATAAAAAATATTATTGACTGTGATATTAATTTATTTATAAAAAAATTAAGTTGAAGGCTGCTGGAAAATAAGAATTTCTTCTAAAAAATTTCCCCGAATGATTTAAAGTAACAGCTTGAAAATTTCCCTCGTGCTCGCTCGATATGAATATTTCTTCTAGCTCTGGGAATAATACATAGTTGGAGACTTAATTCTGATTGAATGAAAACTTTAAACAAATTATTTTTAAATTATTTTTTTATATTTTCATTAGAAAATTAAGGCTATGGTCTTATAGTTGTATGCACGTCACGTATTTATTTATTTTTTATTTTTAAACGTTTACGTTTTATTTTTATAATCTCTAGTACTCAGTGATTTTCTTTGGCCGGCATTTAAGCGCACAGAAATGGCCATCATTATCTATCATCCACTAAATTAAATGTCCATGCCCAAAATATGGAGACGTTTTTAAATGATTTTTTTCATAATTTTATTCTTTTTGTCAAAAACATGCAATATGGTTATGGTTGTTCAAACACGTGTTGTCGTAACACATTGACATCACTAGTATAGACCATTAAACTTTTTTTTTAGATGTAAAATTATCATTACAAATTTACAATATTAATAAGGTTAATTAAATGGTACATGTTGAATAGGTCCGAACTTTCAAATAGTAACATTTCACATCAATCGTAAAAGAATGCATAGGGTAAAAAAGATACAGGTTGGAATAAGTCTGGAAATTTCAAATATTAACATCTCACATTTTAATTTGTGTTGATGACTATTGGGTTTACACATTTGAACAAAACATGGATAACTTATCTCTTCAACGATTCAATATTTTGTTGTTCTTATGATCCTCTTTTACTTGGTCGTCTTTGGTGGTTAGAATCGAGTAGTACTCAGCTTTTTCACCGTAAACACCATCAAGAACCACATAAAATGTCATGATAAAGATTGTAAATACAACCAATAACAAGCTGAATTCGATGTTGATCAGTGACTTGGCCCTATGAAGAGCCTCTTCGCTAGAACACCTAATCAGTTGGTGTTTTTTCTCAACGTAGAAAAAGCAACCCTTAGTGAGCAAACTTGGTGTGAAAAGCATGAAACCCATGAGTATTAACCATGCTCCTTGACAGGCTATGCTTGATGATCTCACGAAGCTCACCAAAAAACTCTTGGGCATGGCAATACCCATGAGAGTGGTGATTAGAGAAACGAATATAACAAGTTGGTAGAGCAAATGGTATTGTCCCTCAACGCCCACGTGGTCGGTAGAGTGAAAATAGAAGATGAACCATTGTTGCGCGAGTGCAGCGGCTAAAGCAAGAAACGTCAGTGCCTTAGCGGTTGCTGCTGCTCTAGGCCTTGCTCTATCGAAGACTATTGCGAAAACGGCATAGACTATGAAAGATATGAAGAGGATGGAATGTTCAACGCTACGGAGATGGCTCGACGGGATGGTGCCATCAGGGTCAAAGGGATTGTGTCTTTTGGGTCCAATGAAGAGTTGTCGAACTGTGATGATTGATAGGCTGACCATGATAAAGTAAAGCTCTAATTAAGTATCTGAGCTTGGGAGATGGGAACCATGGTGATGAAGAATAAGTATTTGGGTTGAGACAAAAGAGTTTTATGTTGTTGAATAAATGCCATATACACCAACTGCCAAGAAACCTATGCCACTTCCAAGATGTCCCGCAGGTGATTCCATGTTGTGGGCTTTTGTTTCTTAAGAGATATTTAGGGACTTTGATTGTGATCACAAGAACTATTGATGAATTGGTTGGAATTAGTAAGAGTTGAGAACAATTAGTACTTAAAAATATCCACAAGGGTCATTTAGAGAAAGTTTATTTTTCTTGTTGTTGATAAAATATTACAACTTTGTTAGAAACTTAGAATCTTTCTTATATGAATGATTTAAATTATTCGTACGACGTTAAGATAACAGAAGTGAGCAACATGATTTATTTACACGGCCAACATGTCTAGCCAAAAGAAGTGAGCAACATGTTTTATCGCACATCAAATTTAAAACTAAATCAAAAGTCTATGTCATTATGTCAACAACTCAGGAGACAGTGAGTCAGTGACAATCTTAAATGATTTTTTTTCTTAGGTTTTCATTATTTTTCTTCGGAATTTTTTCTTTAATAAACGTTGAAGTTCCGAACTTTCTGTATATAATATTTTTTAGCATTCAGAGTCATTTTTCAGATATTCCGATTTAAAGAATAATCAACAATCTTCCATATCTTCCTTCTTAGTTATTTTGTAATCACAACTAGATCATTGGGTCTAATTTAGTCATTTTTACTGTTCGATTTTGGTCGATTTTCGTTGTTCCCAATAGACCATAAACTCTAAGTCTACCTTAGATCTTAACTATGAAAAGAGAACATAAATATTTCGTATAAGAATCTCAAAAATAATTCGTATGTTATATAATATTCGTTAGGAAATCACCTTTGCAAGATTGTGTTAAAAATATGATTTGTGTAACCGGTCCAAAACATACAGCTACTCAACTGTTTACATTTAGTGTGAATTGTTAATGATTTTTTGAAATAAATTAGGGAAAACGGCCAAATCCCCCCCGAACTTAGTTGCTTTATCGTATTCATACACAGAACTTTGGTTCGTGCCTATAACTACATGAACTCAACTAAAATTTGAATTTCCTACGTGAACAATCGAAATCCGGCCAAAACCATCAAATTGACTAACGGTGTTACTGTTCCGTTAATAAATGCTGACTAGGATGCCACATTTGCAGTCTGAGATGCCACATGGACTACGAAACGACGTCGTTTCGTTTTATTTAATTTAGAAAAAAATAAAAACTGAGAAAAATATTACTAATACGGAATCGAACCCATGACCTTGGCTACCCGTAATCACACCAACAACCAACCGAGCCACTGATACTTTTGTACATTTTGCATTCAGAATTATATAAATATATATAACGCAATAAATTAAAAATGGCAAAATCTTGGACTGAGTCAACGCAGCCTTTGAGTGAATAAGGTATCTGGGTTTTCGTTGGTTGTTGTGGGGGTATTGGAGAAATTGGGAAAATCTGGGGATTTGAAGAGTGATGAAGATGAAGATGAAGTATGGGAAAATTGTGGTGAAGGGAAGGGAAAGAGGAAGAGGGAAAAGAGAGGGCTTCTTGTTGCATTGGTCAATAGACATCTCACATTACATGAAACTCTCTCTGTGAAGCTAAGTGATGATGAAAGGATATGAGTAGAACAGAGTGTGATTCGAAGTTGGTCATGGAGGAGAAGAATGGTCATGGCTCATTACGTTATATACGTATATATACATATTTCTGAATGAATGTTAATAAGAGCTTCCATGGCTCATTGGTTCTTAGACTTATTTCGGGTACCATAGGTCATGGGTTCGATTCATTGCTTAGCCATTTTTTCAATAATTAATTTTATTTTTTTAGTGAAACGACGTCGTTTCGTAGTCCATGTGGCATCTCAGACTGCAAATGTGGCATCCTAGTCAGCATTTATTAACGGAGCAGTAACACCGTTAGTCAATTTGATGGTTTTGGCCGGATTTCGATTGTTCATGTAGTAAATTCAAATTTTAGTTGAGTTCATGTAGTTATAGGCACGAACCAAAGTTTTATGTATGAATACGATAAAGCAACTAAGTTCGGAGGGGATTTGGCCGTTTTCCCAAATAAATTACAACATCTATAGTTCGATACCTTAAAAGTCAATGCTTCTAGACTAATTCTTAAAAGTCAACATTAAACTTACAACAATTCCAGCTAGTTGAACTATATATAGTTGCGTTTTCATCACTCGTTAGAAATTAAATATTATTTATAATTTGGAAGGACACCATAGAAAATATTCTAGTCTCTAGTCTTAGAGAATGTACCAACCTAGGTTTAGAATCACTTAGTCATTCTAGAAAAAAAAAATGTAACTTTGATATATACCAAACGTATATTTTGAGGTTGCTATAAAAAGTTTAATAGAAATGACAACTTGTATCATAAAAGGAAAAAGTTCAATCTAAAATCAGATCTTCTATGTAAATGGATCACTTAAGTGTTTTTTGATGTTGCTAAGAAATAGTCTCTAATAAGTGTTTTTTTTTTCTTACGTTCATTTCACGAAAAGAGACATTAAAGAGGTCTCTCTAACATATTCCATTCTCTTTTAATAAATTTAACTTTACATTAATCCCGCAAACGTGACAAAATGTAGAACCTACAGTTTTCAATTTTTATGGTCTTTGTTTGAACGTACGGAATGGAGCACGACAAGGGAAGGTGGAAGACTGGGTCCACGAACAATGGGCTTTTCTGGTGAAGTCAGGCCACGCCCCAAAAGTCAAGAACACTCACTATTAACAAATAAACATATACATACACTGTAGTTGGTAAGTTGGTAGGTAAACTACGACAAATTCATTAGCTTTCTTGCTAATAGTTAATTTTAGGACATTTCAAATTACGTATAAAAGGGTTCGTAATTGATTGAAAAAAAAAAGTCTTTATGTCACATTTTCGTTGCATACACTACACAAAAAGAGACTGGAATGAAAAAAAAATTGGAAGAAAACAAGAAAAAGCGAATAAAGCAAAAGCGTGATAAATACTTAAAAGAAAATGGCAGCCATAACTTAAACCCTATGATACCGACTACAGAAAAGTAAAAGATATAGCATTTTGAATTTACTAATGGACCAGTCCACCACCAAATAATGATTCAAAATTTCTAAAAGTTGTAACAAAATATGCTTAATTTAAAAGAATAATGGGCATATCTCAAGAAAAGCAATTAAACCGCAAAATGATATATTTTCAGTTTCTGTTAAGAAAAGAAAAAAAAAAGTTGTGAGTATGACTTCACCGTAAATCATACGACTCGATGACGCAATGATTATGATAGTACTTCACACGCATCACATATGGAAATACACATCAACCTCCCACACATATTTAAATTTAATTTTTGTAAATAAAAATAAAAATCTCGTCCATTCCCTAGGGCCTAGTCAATGTTCTTTAACTACTTCACAAAATATAAACGAATCCACAATTAAATAGTAATAAAATCTTTCTTTCTAGAAAGTAATGTCCAAAACTCGACATATATATAAATAACATCACACACCTTCTTGTTCTCTACACCTTTTATATAAACAAACCATCCATAGTAACCAAAACCACAACAAAACACATGGCTAAGCTCATTTTCTTCCTCGCCGTCCAAATCCTCCTCCTCGCCGTGGTTTCTTCTGCCGGAGATGGCGAAGACTTCTTTAGAACCATGGACCGGAAACTTCTCGGTCTCCACAAAAAGGAGAAACTTACCCATTTCAAAGTCTATTGGCACGACATCTTAAGCGGTCCGAACCCAACCTCCATCATGATCCAACCACCGGTTACAAACTCTTCATACTTTGGAGCCATCTCCATGATCGACAACGCTTTGACCGCCAAAGTTCCGATGAACTCCACGGTGTTGGGCCAAGCCCAAGGGTTTTACGCCGGAGCGGCCCAAAAGGAGTTGGGTTTTCTGATGGCGATGAACTTTGCTTTTAAGACAGGGAAATATAACGGAAGTACGATCGCAATTCTTGGTAGGAATACGGCGATGTCAGAAGTCAGAGAAATGCCGATCGTCGGAGGAAGTGGGCTTTTCCGATTTGCTAGAGGCTATGTTGAGGCTAGGACAAAGTGGATTAATCTCAAGAACGGTGATGCTACTGTTGAGTATAGTTGTTACGTGTTGCATTATTGAGGTTAAGTAATATTTTTTGTCGTTTTCCTATATTTAATTTGACTACGCAATAATTAATAAAACAGATTTCAATCTATTGAGTTTTCTTAGTGTTTTTTTTTTGTATTTGGTGTTATGGTGTGTGTGGTGGACGTTGTGTGGGAAGTGTTTGTAGTTTATAATTTATAATAATTATCTAGTTTTTTTTTATGAGGAGATTTTGAAAATAATTTGGTGATTTGAAAGATTTGATAGTATATTTCATTTTAGATGTGTTGTTGATGTTTGATTTGTTAAAGGGTTGTTTATGTTTTGGACCGACATTCTTACGTGGTCGGCACAAGAATTTTAAGGACCATTACAAATATAAGGACCTATGATAACTTTAGACAAAAAAAAGAAAGAAGGACACATGATAACTTTAACAACTTAAGAGAAGTAAGAATGAAACCACATAAAAATCTGAATACTTATAAAAATCTTGGAACTCTCAAGAGTATGGATGTTATACCTTGCTCTAATAGTGGTCAAAGACCGAACAAACAGTTTAAGGTAACTTGATGAATGTTTGATCGTTCTGCCACGTGAACGCCTGCCCAAACTCAAAGTAGTACGACCATACTATCCAACGATAACAATCTTGAGTAGTGGAGTGGATCTTGCTTGGTCGGGTTACTAGACCAAGAGAAAACCGAGTTCAAATGCTCGGTTAATGAAATTAAACATCAAGTTAAATTGTGCATTGACGCTAAGAGATTCATATTAATTAAACATTAAGTTAAACCGAGTTAAGTTTGCTACCTAGTGGACAGTGGCCGAACCATCTTTGACTTGCAATTCCTGCGTACACGTTGTTTTCCGATGAACAACCTCTCATACGTCGACGTTTCTAACACAACTTCTTATAAATTTGCATTGTTCTAAGAAAATAAAAAAAAATTAGGCGACCACTTTATTTTAGCTTACATTAAGCTCAATAGTATTATTTGTTACCGATTAAATATCTTTGAATAGAGTTTGTTGATTATTGGAAAGACTTTTAACTCGATGAAGTAACTTCACATTGCAAGAAACATGCGTCTTTTCTCTTTTTCCTCATCTATCCTCCATGTTTTCTTACCATAAAGCAAATTTATTTCATGTTTTAAGAGATAAACACAAATTTATTCGTCTAAATCATTATAACACATTAACACGTACAAAGACCAAAGGCTTGTTTTATGTAATTGGAAAAACGTACACTCAATTTATTATTAATAAATATGGGCAAAAAACCTTTAAAACAATATCTCTACTCTTCTTAAGCCCTTTAAATCCTTTCTTTTCTTCATTGTGAATTTGCAAAACGGCGAAAGCATTTAAAAGAAAAGAAAAAAAAAAAAAAACTCAAATGGCTCCGTGGACCGAAATATTGACAAATGCTGCCATTTTTGTGATAATCCAAGCTCTAGCGTTTCTGATAATCTTCACTTCTTCCGACATATTCTCCTCCAAGATCAAGATGAAGACGAAGAAGAGATCTTTTAGTTTCAAACTCTCTCGTTCCATTTCCCATTTATTCGCTTTAGTCTCTCCGATGATGTCTCTCGAGCCGACGAAGAAGAAGTAGCAGAAGAATTAGAAGCTTCCTTTCTCCTCTCCTCAAATCTCAATTGATTTCTATTTCCAAGAACATTGGTTTGTATTTTCAGAAATTTGACTTATCCGCAGAAAAATCTTCGAAGTTTACTTTTCACAATGTATGGATCATGTCAATATAAAGAAGGGTCTGATGATCTATGACTCATATGGTTAAGATCAGACACTACATTGAAAACTGTAATCTAGCCAGCAACATTACACTGATCACTCAGTTGCTTATAAGTTATAACAACGCAAAAAGACAACTCGAAAATGAAAGAATTTAAGCGGGGAGTTTTAGGACCTGTTCTAAATTCAGGACCTTTCGGATTTGATAAGAGATGACAAGAACGATAGAACCCGAGTTTTTGTTTACATTTCATGTCTTTATCCTACCCCCAAGCTTGTTGTAAGATGAAATACTGTCATAAAGGCATCGAAATACCTGCAGTTTCAGATAATAAAAAGGTTAACTTTTAAATGCATAAAGCTAAGCAACAAGTCCATATCAAATATAAGAATTCCATAAGATAAAACCAACGCCTGAGTCACAGACCAAGTACTAAACATGATGAATATGCCAACGTATTAAACTAACCAAAGCTGCTAATACAAGTATACTATAAGCCAGAAAGACAACAATTCATTCACAAGTAGAGTTTTCATGTCAAGTAACAACAATCCAAGTATATATAGAGAACGCATGGATCAAGAAGTTATTCATCAGATTTACAAACCGACTGAAAATGGCATAACACTAAGCAAAGCTAACATGATCTACCAAGCTCCTATCAGTGCTAAATTAATCAGCTAAAACATAATTTCCCTATCAAGAAGAACTGATATCAGCGGTTTCAAAATAGAAGTATGATAACAGTCACTGCCACCACCAAATGTCAAAAACTGGCACACGAGGAACCATCATCACTACATAATGTGAATCTTCTTGATATACAAAATGTAACAAGTCCTCTTCATTCTAAACAAACGAATGATATTAACTTATGTTCTTAAAGGTAATAGAGACAGATAGAGTGGAAAAAGACTGACCTTGAGGAACTAAAGCCCAGCTCTTAGACTCAACAGACAAACTTGATATCAATCTGGCAGATGCTATTGCACTGTGTAGTGGCAACATCGATAAACAGCTACTTAGCTCCACTGGTAATCTGTTATATAAGCATTACATCAAAAACAATTCAAATCATAATCGAAAATTGAAGCTGATTTTGAGATTATGATAACCAAAACAATCAATACCAATGTCCCTAATTCCAATGCAAAACTTATGACCACAACAATACATTTCCAAAAGGTTACTCATTTCTGAGAAACACTGACCTAAAAGATTGATTGATACGAGAAGTGGCTGAGGATGGAGATGAAGATTTAATGGGAGAGGGTAAGGAGGAAACGTGAACATTCGTCTTGCTAAGCTTCTGGGTTAAAGAATGAATCTTTGATGATAATCTGCAGATTTTAGAAGAAGACGCCATTGGAAGAAGTCAAAGAGACGAAGAAGATGAGATCGGACGATTTAGGGTTTAAGGGTGTTTCTTGTGACTTTTACGGGTCGGGTCAAACAGATGGCTGGATTATCTTTTTCAACACTGTCAAGGAAACGTCGTCGTTCTGATTATCTTCTGAGAGCTAGAATATTTTTCTTGCTTTATGTACTATTGAGTAAAAAAAAGTTGAACCATTAAAAAAAAAAAAAAGAAGACCTTTCAGTGGGGTTTCCATTTATTCCCTGATTAATTAAATGATTAGTGAAGAAGGTTTAAAGGATACATTTCATTATGAGATGAAAATATGAAATTGACCTCGATAAGATTTTTTTTTTATGGGTTTGATAATTGATATTTCTATTGAAAGCGTGATGAGTTCACGACGGATTGGGATACTCACTTAATTCATCTCTGGCTCTCATTAGTCATTAGGATCGAATAACGCTGTTTGTAACTAAAGCCTTTCTAAAGTTTTACATTTTCTTAGAAGAAGAAAAAAATATATGTTATACAAAGCCATTGAGGCCTAATTGACTAATTAGGCTAAACACACATCAAGTAAGCCCATAAGTTAAATTTTCAGCCCATAAGTTAAATTTTGGAGCCCATGAAGGTTACACATCTGAGAACTATAAAATGTTTTCTTAATTGTTTAACCGGTGTTTAGCAAAACAAGGATACTGTTGAAATTTTTAAATAAGACAAAACAAGGTCCGAGAGTCCGAGACAATGAACCGCCTTGAATGGTGAACACATAAAACTTGTCAACTTTGATCCCTAATATACTCTGAATTAAACATGCCACACACACATACATTATATTAATCACTCTAATTTCTTATAAATTACATGGTTTTGTAACCCTTGCAAAACTTAAATTTTTGTCTTTTACTTAGAAATTTGAAATAATAACGGGTGATTAGCACCAGACATAAATTTAATCGTTGTCGCGTACATAGCAGTAAAGCACATCGCCCAAAGCGGACAGCCGCCACTAAAACGTTAATATATCTACTCGATTAATTAATGTTGTTCAGATTTTATATTTTTCTAAATGATTTTACGTTTAAAATTTCCATTAATTTTAGCATCTCAAGAAGTGTGACAAGACGAGACTACTGATAACAGCCGTAAATATTTAACAATCGTAGTGTGTGATTGACTGGTCGGAGAAACGCAGCGTATTATGGTCCTTGTGATGGTGACAGGTCTAAACTCTATCAATCACGCACACAAAACAAGATACACACACAAAAAAAAACAAGATACACAAATTTGAACTATTTAAAGGTTGATGATACTAATGTAGTCTTTGAGAGAAAAAAAAAATGATACTAATGTAGTCTTAACTAAAAAGAGGTTTAATCACTTAACTACTCATGAAACAAAGAAACAATGGGAATGAGAAAATACAAGATTAACTATTTTTAATTAGAATGATACATTTGTATTACTATTAGTTTATTATTACAGAACTCATTGGATTGTTCCTGTTAACTTATTAATAATATACACAGTGATTTAAGGGTTTTTGGATCACAGTGTTGACAAAATCAAGAACACTACAAAGCTGCTTTTTATAACATTTTCGCGCTTTTCTGCTTGTTTGTATCTGAGCCAGCATTTATGCTGCTTCTTCTCTAGATTTTTATACACTGTCTTGTTTCTATCTCTATAAACGTGCTTTTGATGTTTAAAGCTGAAAACTTCCAAGTCAGACAAAACATAGCCATATCAATGCTTCATGTTATTATGTAAGATGATACACTTACTAAACGTTCTGTTTCACTAGTGGATCCTTCTTCCTTATCTCTTGCTCTCATTTTCATGGCGGTGAAATATATGAGTGCTTATCTTGGTGAGAAATTGCAAAATATTTATTTGAATAATGTCCTTGTGATGCAGTTGTACACATGATTGATGATAATATAATACTAGTATTTTTTGTGTGTATTTTAGTAAGGATTTAATTTAATGTATCAATCTCTTTCCATTGCTAGATTCTGACTGCAAAATCTAGTCTAAAGGATACTACTTATTTTGGCAGTTTCCGTTTCAAAAACTCATTTATCTCATTCTCTTTTTGTAGGTGTGATTTTGAAGATTGGTAGATTCTAATGAAAGCAGATCAAAGCAGAGACATTTGAATTGTGTTGCCTTTTCTCTTGTTGATAGGGTTTACATTGACTCAGTGATTTGAAAAAAAAGAGAGGATAGATTTGAGTGATTGGATTGAGAGGATTAGTATCTCTTTGGATCTTTTGGAGATTTGCAGCCTAAAGTTTTAATTTTTATTGAAAGGGTACAAGGATTTTTCGATTAGATATACTCCAAAAGCTGGTTGGGAATCTCAAAAGTAGGATTTTTTTGTTCAGGGTTTTGTATTTTGTGTTTTGAAGTTTATGTGATTCAGTGAGTGAGAGTGAGAGGTCTTGTCATGTCTATCAGTTTTGTATGCATCTGCAAAACCAAGCATTGTGTGTTTGGTCTGCGTTTGTCTTGATTTCCAACTTGCCATAATAATGCAATCATATCTACAGAATCTATCTCTCCTGGAAGCTACATTATCTCTAAGGATCATCTAGAAATCAAGAGAATTGTTCTTGTTCTTGCAACTGTCTCTTAAATGAGCAGAGAGAAACAGGAGAAGAGATCAGGTTCCAATGGGACTGAGAAGGTTCTTGTTGCTGTTAAAGCATCTAGGGAGATTTCAAAGACAGCATTGGTTTGGGCTTTGACTCATATTGTTCATCCTGGAGATTGCATTACTCTTATTGTTGTTGTCACTTCTCACAATGCTGGTACTTTTTCTTCTTTGCTACTAAACCATGGAGGTTACTTACTTTGGTCTGTTTTCTTCATTATCTTTGTTTGTTTGTTATCTTATGTTTAACTTGTTAGGTCGAAAGCTATGGACTTTCCCAAGGTTCGCTGGAGATTGTGCTACCGGTCATCGGAAACTGCATTCTGATGCAATTCCTGAGATAAAGAGTGATCTCACTGATACTTGTTCCCAAATGATTCTCCAGCTTCATGATGTCTATGATCCAAACAAGGTAATTATTAATTAGGCCATCATAAAAATAATGATATTCTGAAACATCAAAAGTTATTCTCATGCTTGTTTCTTTTGTGTGTTCTTTGAAAGGTTAATGTCAGGATCAAGATTGTTTCTGGATCACCATGTGGAGCTGTTGTGGCTGAGGCCAAGAAATTGCAAGCAAATTGGGTAGTTCTGGATAAGTAAGTAAATAATAATCTGAGTTCATTCTTCAATTCTTTAGTTTTTTACTCTCTTTGTGTGGTTGAATGATTCTTTTACAGGCACCTTAAGCATGAAAAGAAACGGTGCATAGATGAGCTACAATGTAACATTGTGGCAATGAAGCGTTCTCAGGCAAAAGTTCTGCGCTTGAACTTGGTCGGGTCACCAACAAAGCAACCAGTATTGGCATCTGAAAAAAACAAAAACAAGTTGTTAGATTCTGTTAAAGCGGTTGTTACAACAACTCCAATGAGCAGTCCTGAGGTTGAGACATCATTCACAGGAACAGAAGTTGGGACTTCATCAGTTTCTAGCTCTGACCTCGGAGCATCATCACCTTTTTTCACAGCTGAAGTGAAAAAGGATGAAACTTTGGTCATCCAAGAGAATGAATCTGATTCTGATTCAGAGAGCGAAAATCTATCACTACCTTCCACTAGTATGAGATTCCAGCCATGGATATCAGAATATCTTGCCACTCATCGCCTCTCATTGCAGGAATCCGAGGAGAGTCTGTGGAAAACTGATGATAAGGCTGCTCAAGTATCCACTAAGAAGGCTTTTCTTGAGAAAATTTCTAAGCTTGATGAAGGAGAAGAATCAGCTACGTCAAGTAAAAGGAATGACTTGGAGGAGTTTAGTGGAACCTTAAGAGAAACAATTTCCTTATCACGAAATGCTCCTCCTGTTCCTCCTCCTCTATGTTCTATTTGTCAGCACAAAGCGCCTGTATTTGGAAAACCGCCGAGGTTTTTCTCCTACAAAGAGTTAGAGCTTGCAACAAATGGGTTTTCTCGAGCTAATTTTTTGGCAGAAGGTGGATTTGGATCTGTTCATAGAGGTGTATTACCTGAAGGCCAGATTGTAGCAGTAAAGCAACACAAACTGGCTAGTACACAAGGAGATGTAGAGTTTTGCTCTGAAGTAGAAGTTTTGAGCTGTGCTCAGCATAGAAACGTAGTTATGTTAATCGGTTTCTGCATCGAAGATACCAGAAGACTCTTGGTCTATGAATACATATGCAATGGATCATTAGACTCTCATCTATACGGTAAATCTCATCTAGAGTTCAAGTTATTTAACCTAACAAACTCTTAACTAGAGTTGACTGACTAACTTCCATGAAATGTCCCTTCAGGTCGCCATAAAGACACTTTGGGATGGCCTGCAAGGCAAAAAATTGCGGTTGGAGCGGCTCGAGGTCTTCGATATCTTCATGAAGAGTGTAGAGTGGGTTGCATTGTTCATAGAGACATGAGGCCTAACAATATACTAATCACCCATGATTATGAACCACTGGTATTTATATTTTTTTCAACTACAATTTACGCTTTTTTTTTCTTTTATACATTCGTTTGATTCTGTTTTTGTTTCTCTTTCAGGTTGGTGATTTTGGTTTAGCGCGATGGCAGCCTGATGGAGAGCTCGGTGTAGACACGCGTGTGATAGGAACTTTCGGGTAACAAATTATAGAACTAAATCATCATTCTCTAACACTAAAGTTTTAAAATTTCTCAACTACTTTCTGTGTTTCTTGTTTTAGATATTTAGCTCCAGAATATACTCAAAGTGGACAAATCACAGAGAAAGCTGATGTTTACTCGTTCGGGGTTGTATTGGTCGAACTAATCACTGGTCGTAAAGCAATGGATATCTACAGACCAAAGGGACAACAATGTTTAACTGAATGGGTAAATCTAAACGTTTCTTCTTTTAAAGGTTTCTTAGCTCATTTTGAGTCTCATTTTGTTTTTGTGAGCAGGCAAGATCTTTATTAGAAGAGTATGCGGTTGATGAATTGGTTGATCCGAGGCTCGAGAAGCGATATTCAGAAACAGAAGTCATCTGTATGATTCATACAGCTTCATTATGTATACGTAGAGATCCACATCTGCGTCCTCGTATGTCTCAGGTAAAGAAAATCACCATTTCTTGAAACAGATTCATATTTAAAGCCAAGAAAACTCTCTCAAGTGTGTCTGCTTTTTTCTTGTTGCTGAAGGTGTTGCGTTTATTGGAAGGAGATATGGTAATGAATGAAATCTCAGGAAGGTGTAATGGAAGATTATCGATTGAAAAAGGTCTCAGAGATCACAATTAAAAGCTGAAGTTGCTAATGCAGAGAGTTATGGTTTTTATAGTCCTCTTAATTGACAATTATGGTTTTTAGTCGCTTAATCAAAAGTGATTAGTGTTTGTAGTTATAAACTTTTCGGTTTGATAATCATGTAGTAAAGTAAATTAACCAACAAAACATACTCAAAACATTCTCAAGTTTCTCAAATCACACCAAAATGATTAGTAACATACAAAAAAAAAACACAACGAATTTGGGAATTATGACGAAGGGTATGACATCAGCCCTGAAGATTCAGAAACCGCCGCAGCTTCTTCATCAAGAAACAAATTATCACTTCTTCTAACCGCCGCGTGAATCAGAACCAACACGGCGGCGGTTAACAAAGATCCCAGAATATTCGACGTAGCGTGAGTCAACAAAAGCATCACAACCGTGAAAACAGATAAACCAATGAGAACCGTCCGATCATCAATCTGATAACCGAAAACCACAAGAGGCTCGTCACGGAGGAAATAGAGAAAGATCCAGAAGACGATCAAGATTGATAACACGATTAACGACGTTGGGTGATAGAGAAGGCTTAGGAAGAGGATGAAGAGAACTCCGATGGCGTAATTAGCTCTGAAATAGCCGAGATTCGTTTTGATCCTCGAGATCGCGTCGAAGAATCCGTGTGGGAGAGTCATTGATTCGAAATCGAACATTGATTTCCATGGCCGGCGCGTGGCGAGGCCGGATTTTATACGGTGTTTGGCGCGTGAGATGTATTCGAGATTTATCGCCGGTGATGGATGAGACGACGTCGGAATCGCCCCGTAGTTCGTCATTTCGGAGAGAGGAGAGAGAAGAGAGAAACGAAGCTAATTTTCTTTTTGTTATAAATTGCTCAGTGTCCCTATGAAAAGGTGCTGATATAAATAAATGTCACATATGGATAAAAGTTGTTTACATAACCAATAAATACATAAATGCTTGTATACTGTAACAAGTTCTATATATATATAGTTGCCAAATATTACACGATTTTTATTTGTTTTCGCACTACACATTTGTGGTATTATTGATATTTTCAAGTGAAATTATAAATATTTACCTAATAGTATTATGTAAATTTTATTTGAGAAATAGAAAAAATCATCTGTGTTTAACAGTCAGCATAATAGAATTAGAGACACTTTCTTAGGAAAATGTACAGCATATATTCTCTGTCATTTTCAAAATACAGTATAATCTAATTAATTACTTGTTGACCAATAAAAAATCTAATTAATTACTTGTAAACAGCATAATTTTATTAACTAAATTAACTAGAAGGATTAGATTTTTTTTTTTAATTCACTATCCGTTCATAGAAAAAACAGCGACCGAGTGGTGGTTTCTCTGGCACCGCTTTATTGCTGCACGTGGCTTATCTTACAAATATTTACACACACCACCAGATATTTTCATGCTTTCTCCATTTTAGTCCCAAACGTTTGTTTTAATGAAAATTAACACATTGCTTTTTAAAATTCCTAGTGTTGAAACCAAAGACGAATGCTTGATTTGTAGTCAAAGACACTTCACCTTCATATATATGGTTGAATGTTTTCTTTAAGATTGTCCATGGAGAATCCTACAAGTTTTACCAAAAACATTTACAAATATATATACATATGGATGGACACAAACTTGTGTATAATGTAATCGACCAGCTTCAAGCACATATTTGAGATTCGCAGAATATTTTCTCTCATTCTCTTAAGACACATTTTGAATAAAGGAGAATATGGATCTTGAAGAACAGAAGAAGTTCTTCCATGGAACACTCGAGATTACAATCTTCGATGCAACACCATTTTCTCCTCCATTTCCTTTCAATGTAAGTCTGTAACATATGATGAATCAATGACTCTGATGATGTTATCATTTTGTTCATTCTCATGAACTATTGTTGTCAATTTTACAGTGTATATGTACAAAGCCAAAAGCAGCTTACGTGACTATCAAGATAAACAAGAAGAAAGTTGCTAAAACAAGCTCAGAATATGACCGTGTCTGGAATCAGACTTTTCAGATCCTCTGCGCTCACCCGGTTTCTGACACGACCATCACCATCACGCTCAAGACTCGATGTTCTGTTCTCGGAAGAGTCCGGATCTCTGCAGAACAGATCCTGACATCTGATTCAGCAGTTATCAACGGGTTCTTCCCTCTGATTGCAGACAATGGGTCAACTAAACGTAACTTGAAGCTTAAGTGTTTGATGTGGTTCAGACCGGCTTATCTTGAACCGGGATGGTGCAAAGCGCTTGAAGGAGATTATTTTCTTGGTATTAGGAACGCAAGCTTCCCTCAAAGATCGAATTGCAGAGTCGTACTGTATCAAGATGCACACCACAAGGCCACGTTTGATCCTAGGGTTCATGATGTTCCTTTTAATGCAAGGAATCTATGGGAAGATGTTTACAAAGCGATCGAAAGTGCTAGGCACTTGGTTTACATCGCAGGATGGGCACTAAACCCAAATCTTGTTCTTGTACGCGACGACGAAACTGAGATTCCACATGCAGTTGGAGTAACGATTGGCGAGCTTCTGAAACGGAAATCAGAGGAAGGTGTAGCAGTGAGAGTAATGTTGTGGAACGACGAGACATCTTTACCGATAATCAAGAACAAAGGTGTAATGAGAACAAACGTCGAAACAGCTCTTGCTTACTTCAGAAACACAAATGTTGTTTGTAGACTGTGTCCAAGATCGCACAAAAAGCTCCCTACAGCGTTTGCGCACCACCAAAAGACAATAACATTAGATACACGTGTGGCAAACTCAAGCACTAAGGAGCGAGAGATTATGAGCTTCCTAGGCGGGTTTGATCTTTGCGATGGTCGGTATGACACGGAGGAGCATTCACTGTTTCGTACACTCGGAACAGAGGCTGATTTTTACCAGACAAGTGTAGCCGGAGCTAAGCTAAGTAAAGGCGGACCAAGAGAGCCATGGCACGATTCCCATGTGTCTGTGGTCGGAGGAGCGGCTTGGGATGTTCTAAAGAACTTCGAACAGAGATGGACAAAACAGTGTAACCCTTCGGTGTTGGTTAACACTTCCGGGATCAGAAACTTAGTAAACCTAACCGGACCTACAGAGGAAAATAACCGGGAATGGAATGTTCAAGTTCTGAGATCGATAGATAACATATCGGCAACAGAGATGCCAAGAGGTTTGCCGGTAGAGAAGAGTGTACACGATGGCTACGTCGCGGCAATTCGAAAGGCTGAGAGGTTTATCTACATTGAGAATCAGTATTTCATGGGAAGCTGTGATCATTGGGCGAGCAAGAACGATAAGTACGGATTTTTTTTTAATCGAAACTATTAAATATCCATTGCGATATTCTGATCTGATTTAGTATTTCGTTTTTTGATGTATAGAATCTGCAGCGGATGCACAAACTTGATACCTGTCGAAATAGCTTTAAAGATTGCTGCTAAGATACGCGCAAGGGAGAGATTTGCGGTGTATATAGTGATACCGATGTGGCCGGAAGGGCCACCAGAGAGTGAAACGGTTGAAGAGATACTTCATTGGACGAGAGAGACGATGTCAATGATGTATCAGATCATTGGAGAGGCGATATGGGAAGTTGGAGACAAGTCGCATCCTAGGGATTATCTAAACTTCTTCTGTCTTGCAAACAGAGAAGAGAAGAGAGACGGAGAGTTTGAAGCAGTTTCGTCGCCCCATCAGAAAACGCATTATTGGAATGCGCAGAGGAATCGGAGATTCATGGTCTATGTCCACTCCAAGCTCATGATAGGTAACAAACAATCCGCAATTCACAATCTGAAATGAAAAAATATTGAAGATTCGTTAACCTTCCACAAATTATAAGCACTTAAGATTCAAATCACAGAGATTGTCATATGTTTGTAGTGGACGACACATACATTTTGATAGGATCGGCCAATATAAACCAGAGATCAATGGATGGTTGTCGGGACACCGAGATTGCAATAGGTTGCTACCAAACCAATACAAACAACACCAACGAAATCCGAGCTTACCGGTTATCGCTCTGGTATGAGCATACCGGTGGCCAGATCACGGCAGATGACTTATCATCGTCAGAGCCAGAGAGTCTTGAATGCGTCCGAGGGTTACGGACAATAGGAGAGCAAATGTGGGAGATTTACAGCGGAGACAAGGTCGTGGACATGCTTGGTATCCATTTAGTCGCCTATCCGATTAGTGTGACAAGAGATGGTGCAGTTGAGGAAGTCGGCGACGGTTTCTTTCCTGATACCAAGACCTTGGTGAAAGGAAAAAGGTCCAAGATGTTTCCTCCTGTTCTAACCACCTGAAAAAAATGTCCGAATCAGAATCATTCTTATATCATATGAATAAATAACATTCAGCCTGTTGATTATGATGATACGTGCATATAAATGTTTAATTATGAGATACTTACTGGTTTTTGTTATAACTTATAACCATTCGTGTCCCTCTGTCGGTTCCAACTTGTAGATGAATGGTCTTTTCAAGCTTTGTCGCCTGTAACAAGGAGAAGAATAATCAAAACCTGTTCGACCATGAAATGAGCAGCTTTTAATAGCTAACATTAATGCAAAGTATACAATGCTATGTGACTTAGCAGACTGGATCTCTACATCTAATGTCTAAAAGGTGAACCGGTATGGAGCTTGAAGAAGAATCTTTTCTATTCGTGTCCAAACTCATCTAATGGCTACATAACAAATCTCTCTTTTTTCGCATCGTGTACTGATCCAAGAAGATTAAACTACTAGAAACTTGCATTTTTGCAGCGCCGTACCAATTCAATACCTGGAGTAACAACTCTGTTCTTCCTCAGAGATTACAGTTCCAATGCTATTATATCTGTCCTTGATAAGAATTACATGAGGGCAAACATTTCTGAAGATGTAAGTCGTTTCTAACTCACTCTTAAGCTGCAAAGTTCTCAGAGTCTTCGGAAAAGCAAGAGGGAAGTAAACTAAGTATCTCTAGATTTATATCGAGTACAACCTTTCATCCTGGTAAAACATACACCTAATTTCAGATCAATAGTCTTAATACTTAAACCCACAGAAGTAGGCTAGTCGCCGTCAACTCCAGGATAAAGTGAGCTAATCCTATGTATTTCTATAAAACCTTTGCCTTAATTAACCATGGGTAAGATAATACTTTCCATCAATTCTAAAGAACTTTGCTTCCGTGCTACTCCAGAAACCAACGTAGTGAACCCTCTTCAAAAACAGCTACTTCTCCTCCATCAGTCCAGCATTTCATCAACATTATCTTCATTCTATAGATACTAATGTGAAATCTAGACAAGTCTCACAAATCCTCTTCAACCTCCAGTGTCACAAGCTCTACAGAGAATCCAAGATCTAAGTGGCAAAACTAATGATGCGGACATAGATTAGGAAGAAGATAAAACTGTGTTTAGCTAAGTATTTATATGCAAAAACCACAGACATAAATGAAGATCTATATGCCAAAAAGAAAACAATATCTAACCTCTAGAAGATACAACCAGATAAAAAATTCAAACTTCCTCGTATGGAAAGTTTTGTTAGAAAGATAGTATACCTGTCTCCAGACTTGGTACTTGCTAGAAAGATCGTTTTCCGTAAGGCACATCAACATCCTTTAGAAAGTGCATACCCGAAAAACTGATGTAGTATCAACAAGAACATTGGCAATCTCTTCATATATGGAAAAATTCCTTTATCTGAAGGCAAACTAACTCAAAGGAGACAGAGAAGGTACTCTGAGACTATAGATTTCTTCTTAAGAAAGTTGCTGCTAAATGCTTCCTTGCTGACAAATTCCACTTACGAATGCAGCTTGTGCCCCTTCAGAGACAGACTGTTCATCTCTCCAAGCAACTCCTAGGACCTCAAACAAGACATTCCAAGGATGCACCACCTTAAAATCCTATCTTATTTGTCTTTTGATGAAGTAACTCCATGAAAAGTCGCTTTGATTTGTCTTCTATTGTTCCATCTGTCCTCAATGAGTTGGAATCTTCACCCCGCCTTCAAACTTCTGACCTCATTTTATTTTGTTTAGGATCGATATTCAATCTATGGAATAGAGATTCAGCCCAGTCACCTGCTACGCTAGCTATGCATCAGCTCCTGACCAGCGTCCATCCATTGGTTCCAATCGTGGAAATTAGTGGTTCGCCTAATGGCACACGGTGAGTTTGATGGTGGAATCAGGAGTAAATTCTTCCAATCCATTAGATGATTGCACGTGGGGAGTAACGGTCATGCAACTCCAGACCAAGTCCAAAACCACTCACAGCACCTAGATTCAGTCCTATTGCAGTCATAGCTAAGATGCTGATCGCTCAAACACTGCTCAAATAATCCTTGTTGAAAGTTTTCTGAAATGAAATATCCCGCTCATATTGATCCATATGACCCTCAAAGACTGTTCTTAGCTGCTGCTGATGGAAGTCTGTTAGCCTGATCCCAGAAGGTCGTCACTGGTGAATCCCAAAATGAGTTCTGAGAAGCTACTCACTATGGTCAGATGGCCATAGAGGATCAATATGTCTCTGTTCCTCCAGTAGTGTATTGTGCCTCGTTCCCTTTACCAATTGAATCAGCATTGACACTACAAACCTGAGCTTGAATAAGCAAGCTCGAGAAAATTCAATGAAAAAACGCTGCCTCCTGACACAATCCAGAAATGGAAGTCATTCCAGTGTTTCCACTTCTTCTTAATTGAGCTTCTCCTATAGCCCTTAAATATAGCCGAAATAAACATAACACCGCTACACAAAAACAGTGGTCTGTGGTACTGCTACCTCTTTTTGCTCCTAGCAACAAGCAATTGCAGCTTGAGAGTTCCTCCAAAATATGGCCACAGTAAACAACTTTCGCTCAAATCTCTCTTTAGACCAAGTTTCTAAAGCCTATAACCCCTTTAAAAGGTGTTAGCTCACCAGATCTTTATAAATTCAAATACATGAGAAGGAAGGAGTCTGGGATGGAAGAAAAAGGAGGGTATCGGGTATCCTCTCCTCTTATTAGTGCCAGTATGATTTCTCAAACTTACTGGCACTTAGAGTCCTCTGGGGTATCTATCCGAGGGGTTATCTTTTACAAATAATCAAAACCAGGGTGTAACAAATACAGGCAGAAGAATAAGAAGGATAATAGGACACAACTAATAGCAAGAAAGAAGAACCAAATTGTCAAATTATTGAAATAAGAAGGAAATAGATTAGCCATCTAAGTTTGGCTAAAAAAGAAAAGAAAAAAAAAAGCCATCTAAGTTACATAACTATTAGATTTAGAGTAGATGCATACCCACAAACAACCAGAGGAGTTTTGCGAAGTGGGCTATTTAGACGTCACCTCATTCTTTTTCCACAGATCATTTATAGATTTCAATGACGATCCAAACGAGGTTTCTTCTGAGAGCCAGACCCATGGCTGTAATATTGACTCCTTTCCGAAGATCCCTAAGAAACAAGAAAAAGAACGCAGACGTGTCAAAGTACAAGTCCACAATATAGATCAAATTACACCAGAATGTAAGCAGGACTTTACCAAATAACAATCGTTTTCACCATAAGAACCACGGAAAGTGCCATCCATATTGTTGAAATTCATCCCATACGATCCACCTGGACACATAACATATCACAACAAAACAGTTAGCGGCTGAATAAAAGTACCAAATGTTTCCAAGAAAAATCTAGGATCATACCAAAACCCCAGGGCCTACTATCAACAGTAGCAAGTTCTGCTCGTAGCTTTTCGACTTCACGGGCCATAGAAACCATGTTCTTTTCCATTGTCTGCCGCTGCTCCATAAGCTCAAACTTTTCCTTCTTCTCATAGTCAATTGCATCTCTGTTCCATAGCATTTACGACCGAAATCAGATGTTTAGGCACTAAAATACCTAACTAACAGAACGATTGATAAAAGGTACAATCTTATTATACCTAGCATGCATAAGCTCCTTCTGCAGGTCTTTAACCTCAGCTCTCATACCCGGAATCTGCTTGTTATCTGATTGCAATTTCGCCAGATCTTTCCTAAGCATCTGAACATTTCCACTTAATTCACGTTTAATCTCATTCAGCTTCTGAACTTCACCACGCAACTGCGACGCCTCCTTCTTATACGACTCCATAGCGCGAACATCCCCCTCAAGTTTATGCCTTTTCTCACTAAACTCCCTAGACCGCAGATCTTGCTCAGCACGAAGATCAGAAATCATCAGATTCATACGGTGAAGCTCTTCTTTAGCAGCAACGAGTTCTCGCTCAAGAATCATTCGGTCGTCAGCTAGTCTATGATTATCATTCAAAAGCCTTCTAATTTCAGCATCTTGTATCTGAAGATCTTCCAACAAAGATGGTGGTGGAGGTTGTAACAATGGAGGGCCTCGGAGAAAAGGTCTCTCCGGTGGTAATTCACGACGGTCATGATAACTGTCACGGTGAATCCGGTTTCTTCCAGACATTCAGAATTTACCTTCTCAAGAAGAAGAAAAAAACAGTAAAATTCAACAAATACCCAATTCGTTTCCAAAAAAAAATCATGATCAATTTCACATAATTGAAAATTGAAACGGAATCAATGAAAATGAAATTGTGAAATAGCCAAAGAGAAAAAAAAAAGAGAAAAAAAAAAAGAGTCAAAACCTTTTCTTCTGTTCTGCTACACAGAGCGGATATCGTCTTCTACCTTGAATTGCTATGAACAAGGTTAACTTTAAAAAGTTGTCTGCGTGAGAACGACGTCGTGTTGAAAGTCCTCCAGTTGGGCTTTAAATGGGCCTTTATAAAGTAAATAAATGGGCTTATCCTCATTATGTGTTGTTGTCTTTGTTAGTTTGACATTTGATGATGATATGTACATGTGAAGGCAATTAGGAACAATTATTTGGACGGTTGCTTAAAAATTCGCCTAAACACCAAATGCTCAAACCTTATTAAACACAATTTTGTAATATGCACTGTATTTTTTTTCTCTCTGTCAGTAGTTATTGACTATTTGGTTTTTATTTGATGATGTTGAAGCTCTTCAAGATTTGTTTTGATAGAAAAAAACAAAAAAGCTGAGAAAATCAAACCTAAAAAGCTAAGTAATAAAATGTTGAAAAGGGTCGACGAAAAGTTCAAAAGAAATTAGTCTTTAAGGTTTTATTTTTAAAATCCTAATTTCGTTAGAAGTATACAAAAAACACCACACATCCTAATAATTGATATTCAAACGCAAAGACTCATCCGGTCTAGCAATAAGGAGAAAGCATCCTCAAATCCACCTAAACAACAAGTGCTCAAACTCAAAAGCAATAATGGAAGTTCTTGAAAATGTTTCTCCAATTTTATATTAATTATGCATTAATTGTTTTTATTTTTACTTTTTTTTTTCTTAAGGAGCCAGGATTTTCCTCTTTTGATTTTTGATTTTTGTGTATTAGCTTACCTTTCATTTTTGTTTCGCTGCAATTTTTTTGTTGTCCTCATGTTTCTCTCTTTGGGGCTTTAGTTTCAAGAGATTTCTTTCTTTTTTTTCTCATGTCTTATGTTTCTCTCTTTTGAGCTTTAGCTTCTGGAGATTTTTTTTTCTCATGGCTTATGTTTCTCCTTTTTGGGCTTTAGCTTCCGAAGATTTCTACAATTTCTTCCGGCAGTTGTATCTTGTAATACAAATCCTTCTGATTATCATTCAATGAAATGACAAAAAAAAAGAGCATCTGGGTTTAATTTGATGTTGCTGCTCTTAAGATTTGTTTTGAGGAAAAGACAAAGCTTAGAAAATCAAAGTAGAAAAGCAAAATAAGAAATTGTTGAAAAGGGTTGGACAAAGTTCAAAACAAGATAGCCATTGAAGGTTTCACTTTCTATCATAATTTAATTATAAGTATAAAAATCGAATTTCAAAAAGATTGCAAATAAATTCTATTTATTTATTATCGTCATGCGTATTATTATAAAGTACTCTTATTACTAAACATTTACTCATTGGCCCAAAAACTAATATTAATATTATGCGGTCCGGTCCAAATGACAAGCCCAATTACTTTGAAAAATCCTATCTACGGAAACAAAATAAATGAAAATTTTAACCTAAAATAATGTTGACCAGTTATTTCGTATAAATAGATAACATGTTCATCTTCTCGCCGTCAAAACATTTCTGATCTGTAGCAAATTGCAAATCCATCTAAACACTGTATGAAAAGTATAAAGAAATCGGTCATACTTCATCTAATCGGAAAGTCATGAAAGATTTGAAGGTAACTTTCTTCTCTAATCTCAAATTTTCATATACTTGTTAATCGATAGTCAGGTTTTGCAATATATTAGTTTGTCTTCAAGATTATCAGTTGTAAGTTGTTTCGTTTATGAAATTGAATTAAGATTGGATTTATTAAATCATAAATGAATATATTTCAATATCTACAATCGTAGAATCATGGTAACAATGTTTTTAATATATCCAAGTCTTAGATCTTGATTTTTATTATCGTTAAAAAATCGAGGTGATCTTTGTATTGTACTCGTATCACCTATTCAAATTTATTTCAGTCTTAGATCTCGGTTTTTATTCTAGTAAAATCAAGATAATATTTTTTTTGAACAAGTATCTCCTATAATGCAAAAATTAGTTTATTCCATTAGTTTCGTTCATTTTATTTCTAGATTTATATCAAATGATGTAGTAAGCTTGCTAGATAAATAGTTGTAAACGAAATTTTTCGTTTCTCGACTCAAGTCACTCAAGATAATACTCAATTTGATCTAATAGTTTTCTTTTGATTCTATGGTAAATCTTAAGGTTGGGCAAAATATTTGGGATCTGAGATCCGATCCAAGATCTAATCAATCCAGTCGGGGTATTTTTAATTTTAAGGTTAGTATACCCGAATCTGTGTTTTATATATAATTTTATGAAGAAGATTTATTTTATACTAGTAAACAGTTAAATTATTTAATATATCACCAAAATAAACTCTATATTAAAATTGGTGTGTTCTTCGAACGAACATAGTAAATATGTCTTAAAGTATTTAAAACTCATTATGAACAATTTATATGATATTTTCTATTATAGTTTATTTTTTGTTTTTTCAATATTTTTAAATATACATATATATATATATATATATATATGTATTTTAGCTATTTGTGTTGGATCTGGATACTTGAAGATATTAGCGGATCAGGATCCGAGTAGTTGTTTTACGGATCATATTTGGGTGTCTCAAATTTCTAGGGTATCATATCCGTGTCCATCCCTACTAAATCTACTGATTCTTTTGTTATTATCACTTCCATGAGGACCATTACAATCACTTGGTTAAAAAAAGTCTTCTTTTTGAACTAATGAGAAACATTTTTCTTGTCTTTTGCATGCTTAATAACTTAGACAGTTCATATTTATTTTTATCTTCATACTTATTTCATCAATAGTAGAAAAATGTATAATGAATGAAACATTTATAAGTGATTTTTCATATTATATGCCGTAGATGAAATAATGTGTCTCCAACAAACTGAGCAACAAGAATTATACCAACCTTCACATAACATACATGAAAAGGTTAGTAGCTCCCTTGGCAAATACTTATTAAGACCATGATATCAAACACAAAGATTTAGGTACTTTTAGTAATGAAATTGTATAAACAACAATATTAACATGTTAAACAGTAAAGAAAAAAAATCTTCTTTTGAAAGATATATAAACACAATATATTTCAAAATATTAAGAAATTCCGGTTCAATTATAAATCAAAAAGCATAAGAAACACTTATATAATCTATTGATTGCACAAATCTATAGCCGGACCAGGAGAGTGAATGAACTACCGTGACTGGTTTCTCAGACAGAATCAGATGCTATAGACGAGGTTTTCTCGAACTGCAGCTACAACATCATCATCGACTCCCTTATTTTTCTTTAAGCAATCGTCATTATCTCCAGCGCCATCATCAGCTTTGCCGCTCATCAGATTTTGCTTCTTTTTAGCATTCTTCGCTTCAGAGAGAGTTTCATCTGCCTCAATTACACGGATCGCTGCTACAAGGCTTGAACAAAACTCAATTTGTCACAGTCTTTAGTAGGATTGTGACAAATGGCAAATGTTTTTGTTTCTTTTTTTTTCTTCTTGTCTTTGTACTTGATTTTTTTTCTTTCTTAAATTGGTTTTTAAATAGAGCTGGAAATATTAGAAATATAACATGAATATCATTGATGCCCACTAGCTATTGGTTTTTAATTATGTTATTGGACATTGATTGTATTCATATTATCATTCTAAGATTTCCAGCTATATTCAAAACCCAAAAGAAAAAAAAAACCAATACAACCAGAGGAAAATATAAAAAGGAAACAAAAATGTATTTGTCATTTGTCACTATCTTATCTAGTTAGAAAGATTTTATTTGCAATTGAGGTTGATGAGTCTTTCCCTAAAGCTGAGAAAGGTAAGAAGGAGCAGACTTTGATAGCGGTAAAGCCGATGATGGTGGTGGTGATGATGATGATTCCAAGAAAAAAAGGCATGGATGAAGCTGTTTCAGTTGCGGTTCGAGAAAACTTTGATGTAATCTTTGTTTTCGGTTGTCTGAAAAAAGTAGTCAGAGTTCGTTCTCTCTCACACACTTTGCATATGGCTCTTATAGATTTGTGCAATCAGTAAGTTAGTAAGTACATTAAGATTATGTGTTTGCAGTCTAGTATATCACGTGGAGCCACGAAACAACATCGTTTCATTTATTTATTTATTTTTGAAAAATAATAATTTTTTGTTACGGTAAAAGTCACAGACAAGCACTGTAGTATTTAGAGATCGAATCCACATAAACCAAAGAAATACACAATAGACTATATAGATTCATATTCATCTAGAACATAATTAGGAGTTACAGGAGACAAAGCTTTAAAGGTTCACAAGCTTTCTCTCAAAGAGAAAAGAATCATTCATCAAATTGAAAACAAACTCAAGGGATAACCAAGACTTACACGATCAACAACATCTTCACCACTTCCCATTTCTCAAGGTTCAATTTTGAGTTTATTTTCTTCTGGAATCTTGATAGGGCTTTAGGTTGTTTATAAGGTGGAAGAGGATAATGGAGCTTATCTTTAAATAGATAGGTTTGCTTCACTAAACTAATCATCTATTGGTTATTATTGGAAGTCTGTTATATAAGTAGTAAAAAACTTACTTAAATATCATTGTTCAAGTAGTAACCAATAGCTGATTAGTTTAGTGAAGCAAACATATCCATTTAGAAATAAGCTCCATTATCCTCCTCTACATTGTAAACAACCTAAAGACCTATCAAGATTCCAGAAGAAAATAAAGAAACTCGAAATTGAACCTTGAGAAATGAGAAGTGGAGAAGATGTTGATCGTGTGAGTCTTGCTTGTCTAATGAGTCTCTGTCTAAAGGGGAGAAAGCTAAGAATAAGCCAAATCTGATGCGTGGTAAAGCTGAAGATGGTGGTGACGATGAATGATGAGTCCGAGCGAGAAAAAGAAGAGTATTCGAGATAACTTCGATTATAATATTTTCTTTCAATTCTGAAAAGCTTGTCATGGTTTGTTCTCTCTTACACACTCTGAATCTGGTTTTTATAGATTTATGCAATCAGTAGATATTAGTAAGTGCTTCTTATGCTTTGTGATTAAAATTACTTGATATATCATTGTCCTAGTTCTTGATCTGCACTATGCATCAAAAAAATGGTTATAAATTAGAGAACATTAATTTTGACATGTCTATGTTGAATATAAATTTTAACTGCCAGATCTTAGTCAATCATAGTGCGACATGTATATTTCAAACTCAAAACTCTTTAGCCCAAAAAGAGACGAACCTTTTTCTCTCGCATTCAACGTTTCACAATGCCAAAGAAACACAAGACCGGACAATGGATCAATGTTGGAACTGAAGATACCAAAGTGACTGGTTTCAACAATGAAACGAAAAAAGTTTCCAAAAGCAAAACATCTGATATCCACAAAGTAAGAATTGAAACCAAACTAAAATCAACAGAATCTGCACTTTAATAGATCAGAGAGTAGGAATGGTTTTGGAGCCTATGAACTGTTTCAGAATCGCTTTCTCTTCGTCATTCCGTTTCTTCTCTTCTGCATTTTTCGGATTTACTTTCCTTTTCTCCTCCAACATCCATTTGAAGAGCTCACGCTGTTGTTTCTCTGGAATTGGCTCACGTGCCTTGATCACCACTGGCTCTGCAACCACTGTGGAAGACACAGTCTTTTCCACAGTACTAACAGGAGCTGCGACTGAACCTGATTTCGCAGCCGTCTCTTCAACTACAGGATCTAGGTCCTTTTTCTTAGTTCTAAAGAAAAGATAACCTACAAAAGAACCATCATCAGTCTGTTATAAAAGTGTCTGTGAAGGCATTTCCATCAAGATTGTAAATTCAAGGCAGTTCTAGGGTATATAGATATAAACGAGTTGATGAAACTTGTAATTCCAAGATTAGGAGTAAAGAAAGCATCTAACGGAAGAATCTCGATGGTGAGGTATCCATATGTATCTATCTTAAATGACACTTAACATGATATATCCTGCTAACAGAAAGATAAAACTAAACATCATTTCAGATGTGGGAAAAGAGGTTATCCATAAACAAGGATTAGTCATGCTTCAGGAGGAGACAAAATACAAGCAGAGGACCTTACGAAAAAAGTATAAAGACGAGCAAAATCCTGAAGTCAAAGTGTGTTTATCAATAGAGACAGTAAACATATAGAATCAAAAGATCACAAATGATCTATCAAGCAAACTCAGATATTCATATAGCAGAACACATAATCTGAAGAAGCTTCTCAATGGTCCAAGCTTTGTGCCTAATCAAAAACCTAATGATTCTAAACTCCTAACTTCAAAAGAATTCTTACTACGACTACTAATGCTAAAGTCTCAAAACCAGCCAAATCGTTACCCTAATTTGGATTTTGGACCACAAATAATTCAGAATCAGTAAAAACGCTTGATTACCTCCGACGGCGAGATTGACGGTAAGGAGAAGTGGCCAGACATATTTGTACCTACGAGCAAATGATTCCTTAGGAGGAGGCGGAGGAGGAACAGAACCACCACCCATAGTATACGAAGCCGCGGCTGCAGCAGCCGGAGACGGTTTTGATGATGGAGGAACGGTGGGATTGTTGAAATTGGCTTCAACGTGCTTAAGCTGAGCGATAATGGCTGGATACAGATCACACAAATCGAATTGGAGATTAAACACAAAAAAATAAGTCAAATAAATAAAAATCCAAAAACTGTGTGAAAGATTCGTTGAGTGAGCTGTGAAAAGCGACAGTTTCTTCTTTCTTCTGTTTGTTTTACTGTGAATCGGAGAAACCCAACAAAAAAAAAAAAAAAAAATAGTTGTTACCCTTCTTCTTGGGTTTATTGGTGAAAAGCTTCGGAGTTTGTTCACTCATGGCGGATTCGATTCGATCAAATGTTCCGTTTCTTCTTCTTCCTCCTCTCTTGTGCTTCAAGTTGTTTAATTTAGGGATTTTACTTGTGAGCTGTTTTTGTATATTAAGAATTTTTTAATTAATTTAACAAAATGCTTTTGCAAATTACAATTATATTACACCCAAATATATATTTTCCTAGTAGTTTTTTTAAATAAAAAAAAAACACTCACTCTTTTATCATTCTTATGTCCAAAAAAGGGAGAAACAAAAAAAAAATGACTAATCTATTTTTCTATAAATCCATGGTATACTTTTTTTTTTGCTGAATTTTTTTGGTTTATCTTGCTCTAATTCGGATTATCAGATCAAATGTTATCTTACATGTTTTAATGTTTTGCTGTAAATGTCAAATGTTTGAGGAACAAAATAGTAAAAAGATAATAAAATGGAGGAAGAAAATCACTGAGCCCTAAAGCCATAACAAGATACAAAATCAGTGATCAGCTCCACCCTCTTCTGCTCCCACGGTCTCTGAATCCTCCAAGCCCTGTTTCCATAACATCAACCACACATTAATAAATAAATCAAGACACAGACTAACATGACCATGCATTTGAAATCTTCTGACAAAGATTTTTGCTTGTGCTAACTGACCTGGAGGAGGAGGAGCAGTGCTGCGACCCATTGAAGCCAATTCGGGGCTCACTTTCTGTCCAGCTTCTTCTAGTATGTTGATAAGTTCCTTGGCGAATCTTGCATTTGCAACTGTGAAGAAAGTGTAAGCTGTTCCTTTGGCCCCGGCTCTACCTGTTCGTCCAATCCTGTGAACATAGTCCTCCAGTGATCCAGGGAAGTCATAGTTTATCACATACTTCACATCTTTCACGTCTGTTCAAAATAACAGACTGTTGTTAGCTTGTCACCATGGTAAAGCGAGTTGATGTTTGCACGCAGAGGAGGAAAAGATTTAGTACCTAATCCACGAGCTGCAACATCTGTAGCAGTCATTATAGGGCTTTTGCCTGATCTAAACTCCGAGAGAACCCAATCTCTTTCGGCTTGACTTTTATCACCATGTATTGACAAAGCAGGCCAACCATCCATGCGAAGCTGACGAGTGATTTGGTCACAGCCCTTTTTTGTATCAAGGAAAACAAGAATTCGGCTTCCATCCATTATGTCTTCAAGCAACTTCACCAACCTGAAAAATCGCAACGAATAGTTTCGATTCACCACAAATTCCATGACAAGTGAAATGAAACAAGAGGCAGGGAGAGCATAGTAGGTAAGGACACGTACTTGTTATACTTTTGGCTTTCGGAAATGACATCAACAATTTGACGAATTGCACGGTTAGCTTTCAAATCAGAAGATCCTATAATCACCTGCAATTAAGACCAAAGAAGCCTGATAAGTTTTTGTTGACGACTTAACATTGTGAAAACGTTAGAGAGATGTCTCTTACTCTCTTACTTTGTATGGGTTATAAAGAAACTTCTTCGATAGTTGTTCCACCTCCTTAGGCCAAGTAGCACTCCAGTACAAAGTTTGACGGTCTGGCCGAATCTGCACAGGTTTAAGAAGAAAGATTTAAAGACAAAGCAACTAGGATACACATATATGTGACCAAGACAGGAGTAAGAAAACGAACATGTGAAACAATTTTCCGAATCTGAGGGTCAAACCCCATATCAAGCATTCGATCAGCCTCATCCAAAACAAGATAAGTAACCCTTCGTAGGTTTGTGTTGTTCGACTCCATCATGTCTATTAACCTCCCAGGAGTAGCTATAACGATCTCCACACCTAAATCCACAGGCCAACAATCACTATCAGAATGATCAACCAAAAAAAAACAAAAAAAAAACTAATAGTTTGAGAAATGTCGCGAAAGGCACTGAACTAAAGCAATTTACCTTTCTGGAGATCACGCACTTGAGGCCCTTTTGGAACTCCACCATAAATGCAAGTGCTCTTAATTTTTGACGATGAACCAAATTTCGATGCCTCTTGCTGTATCTGCACAGCCAGTTCACGAGTCGGAGCAAGAACCAAGACGATTGGGCCGTCCCCAGGAGCTGGGAAAATTTATTTAAATCAGTACAGCTTTTTACAACTTCCATCAAATAAGAACGGAAAAAAAGAACTCCACGAGCAGAAATCAAGCATTACCTAAAATTGGTTGGGCATTAACATGTACAATAGCAGGTAGTAAGTAGGAAATAGTCTTTCCAGAGCCAGTTTCCGCAATGCCGATGAGATCACGTCCCTTCATTGCCATTGGCCACCCCTGAGATTGTATAGGCGTAGGTTCAGTAAAACCAGCCTTCTTAATCTCTTCCAAAACATAATCTGTCCCAAGCAGGAAATTCTTATCAGCAGATGTATACAAAAAAAGAAAGAACTGGCATACACGATAAACCTAAGACAACTAAGTGAAACTAATCACAATCTAAATCCCCTACATGATTGCCAAATTCAAGAGTGGATAACAAATGGTATTACAAGTACTCAGGATGAAAATCAGCTTACCAGGAAAGCCAACATCACGAAAACTCTTGACAGGTTTTGGAATATCTTTGCCTTCAACAGTAATTTCCCTCAACTTTCGATATTCCTCCACTTCTGTGTCAGTCATAGCCGCTACAGCAGGTGACTCGACATAGAAATTCTTCTCAAAAGGAGTCAAACCATCCAAATCTAGCTTCCTTGGAGATTCATTGCCATCATTATCCTTTTTGCTAGATAAATGACTACCTGAGCTTCCATATGCTGAAGTTCCACCAAACCCTGAGTCACTAAGATAAAGCAAAATTTGAAAATGAAGCAAACTCTTCTTCTCCAACACACCCATAGAGAATTGAAAACGTATTGTTCCTTTAAGACAACGAATTTGATCAAAATTAAGCGGATTTTCTTCATAATCGTCGTTTTTCATACCGAAAGCAAACACACTTACCTTCGACGGTCACGGTAAGAGGTGGAATCGCCGGTACGGCTATCGTAACGACTCATGATGTTCGTCGAATCAGTTTCTCCGATTGAGAAATATGATCGGAAAGTTGAGAGAAAAAGCTTTACGGGAACTGAAATCTAGTCGTTAGGGTTTTACAAATTGGGACGACGAAAGGTTAGAGAGAGAGAGAGAGAGAGAGAGACAAAGCTCGTATTGCTAAAGCTACGATAGTCTGTATCTATCTTTGTGAAACAGACAAATAGAAATACGCCACGTGGATAAATAAATGTCACCGCCTGATCTTTATTACCGTCAAAGTAAGGGAAACTAAAAAAAAAAAAAGCTGATAGTTTTTCAAAAATGGCGATTCTATCAACGAGCTCTACTATAGTGAGAGCTGCTTTAGATACGAAGCCGAAGCTCCGATACAATCCCAATGCGCCGCGAAATGTCAAGAAAAACCCTAATTTGAGCTCTTTTGTTCCACCGTCGTCTCCGTCTTCATCTTCTCCGGCGACAAACTTAAGCGTCTCCGTTTCTGATTTACTCAAACGTCCTGCAAGCAAAGGTAACATATTAGGTTTTTACATATTCCGGAATTCGATGAAGAAGTGTTTAGGACTCTCTCTTTGTTATGCCCAATTCATGATTCTTACTAAATTTCTGGTTTTGTGTAGATATTGGTTATGGATTTGATGATAATTGTATTGGATATGAGAAATGGTTTCCAAGTCCACCAAAAGTGGAGAAACCTAGATCTGTCTTCAATGCTGCCTCATTAGCTTATATAGGCGATTCTATCTACGAGGTTAGTCTTTCAATTCCAGTATTAGTTTGTTCTTCAGTGATTTAAGACAAGTTTTTTGTACTTAAAACATTGCTGTTTTGAGGATGCAAGTATGTCAAACTATGATCATTTTAGTATTTATAGCATGAAAGCAAGGATATCAAGTGATGATTATGTTAGTGTTTATATAGCATTAAGATAATTGGTCACTATGAGCTTGTTCTTTAGGATGCAAGAATGTCAAATGAGGATCATTTTTAGTGATTATAGCATTAAGACAGCCACTATGAGTTTGTGGTGTGTGATATAGACAAGTTTTATCTGCTTAGTCCTTATTGTTTTAGGATGCCATAGTGTCAGATGATGATTATGTTAAGTGTTTATAGCATTAAGATAACCGCGATGAGCTTTGTGCTTCGTATTCTAGACAAGTTTTTGTACTTAAGCCTTGCTGTTTTAGGATACAAGAATGTCAGGCTGATAGTGTTTATAACATTAAGACAGTCACTCTGTTGATACTCGCAATTTTCTTCTCTTTTTAACCATTTTTTCTTGGCTTTGTAGATATATGCTCGTCGGCATTTTCTTTTTCCTCCACTTACTATTGAAGAATATAATGACCGTGTTAGAGCAGTGGTGCGATGTGAAGCACAAGTATGTTTTTTATCTTCTACCCTTTTGTGTAAAGCTATAAATGTTTATTGTAGAAAACAACATATTCGTGCTTCCGCATACATGAATCTCTGTTTATCTCTGATTCACATTTTTGTTTGCAATTTCATTTGGTGTGCGATACTTTAGGCCTGCAATATAGATCAGCATAGCTCTCTAAACTTTGTTTTATTCATCTATTAGCTTACTAATATTCAACATATGATCACCATTGGTATTGTTATCATTGTTCCTGTTTGAGCTAACTATTCTCTGTGTCTTTCTTCTTCAGTATGCTTTGCTGCAGAAGCTTGTTGATGATGATTTCTTAACGAAAGATGAAAGGTCAGTTACAAAAACCTGTTATTTAGCGGGCAAATTCATACATATTTTAGCATCAAGATTTTTGTCTTTTACAATCTCTCCATTATCTGAAAGATGCATGAAGATATTATGACTATTTGAATCACATACTACACAAGTTCCAAGCTTTTTGTTTGAGACAGCAAGGATGGATCGATCTGATGCAAAGTTTGTTGGTCCAGGGATGTACTTCGGTGGGGAAAGAACGTAGGCTCGGTTAAAACACGGTCAACTAGACGTGCTGGTGTTGCTGTTTATAACAAGGCCTCTTCATTGGAAACACTAGTAAGTTGCTCAAATTTGAAATAAGTGTAATACAAATCTGTGTTCTTCTACCTTATGTCCGTTTTTCGTATGTTCAATCAGATTGGGTATTTGTATCTATCAAACGGGAAAAGATTGGAAGAAATGATGCAGAAGCTAGGATTCTCAAGTGGTTCTTCAACAGAGAGAATGATTAAGGAAGCTGGCAGTCATAAACCATCTTTCAAATAAACTATACTATATTGTAGTTACATGCATACCACTTTAGTTTGTATCATTGAAAATGTTTGAATACATGATCCATTCATCAAAACGTTACAAAGTTTGGTAAATTTTTTGTTTCAACTACGACTAAACCACCCAACAAAACCTCAAGAGGCATCAAAAGTTATGTCATTTTGTCCAATCTCAGTCAATCTTCACAGAGGAGTAGATCTTTCTAACGAACCATAAACATGCGTAGAAACCGATTGAGCCGGTTAGCACGAAAAACGAGTAAGAGATAATGATCATGTACCCGAAGTAGAGCAGTCCTGAGACAAGTTTTGAGATCTCAAGCTTTGTGAAGAAGTAGAAGACCGAGTAAAGGAAGAGGTAAAGTGAGGATGAGCCTGATGTGAGGTAAGCTCTCCACCACCAATTGTAGTCTTCACTGCAGAGCTGAAAGTAGCAGAGGACAATTGTGATCTCTGCGCAGGTCACGATCAAGATCAAGAACACGATGAAGAGGAATCCGAAGATGTAGTAGAATTGGTTGAGCCAGATTGATGTTAGGATGAAGAAGAGCTCAATGAAGACCGCTCCGAAAGGAAGGATTCCTCCAATTAGTATGGAAAAAACAGGTTTCATGTACCAAGGTTGCTCTGGTACTTGTCTCGGGATCTTGTTAGTTTTGACCGGATCTTCGATTGCTGATTTTTTGTGACCGAGATAGCTACCTATGAAGACTAGTGGGACAGAGATTCCAAACCAGAGACAGACAAGAGCAAACATTGTACCAAAGGGAATGGCTCCGGATGATCGTTCTCCCCATATGAGTGTGTTGAGAACGAAGAAGATCGCGAAGAGTATACCGGGAAACATGAATGCAGTCTTCAAGGTGATTCTTTTCCACTCATTCCCTTTGAACATTTTGTGAAGACGAGAAGATGAGTAACCAGCAAATATGCCCATGAATACCCATAAGAGAACCATGGCAGTCATGAGCCCTCCTCTGTTGGATGGAGATAAGAAGCCCAGCAATGCAAACATCATTGTCACAAGAGTCATACCAAAAATCTGAACACCTGTGCCGACATAAACACACAGTAACCCAGAGTTCATGGGCGTCCTAAAGACATCTCCATGTACAAGTTTCCATCCTGTTTCTTCCTGAGCCTCGTCTTGGGTCTCGAGCTGATTGTAGTTTGAAATATCCTTGTATAAAGTTCTCATCATGATCATCGCTACCATTCCAGAGAGGAAAAGGACAATCATAAGCGAGTTTATGATTGAAAACCAGTGGATTTGATCATCGTTCATTAGCAAATACGTGTCCCATCGAGAAGCCCATTTGATTTCACTCTCCTGTATATTTCAAACGTCATCATCTGTTTACAGAGCGCAACTAATAAGCTCTCATCGGTAAATTAGTTACCTTAAAGGCGACATCATATGTAAACACAATTTCTTTTCCTTCCTCAACTTCTTGAGGAACAGTGTTGCTTTGGATCAGATTCTTTGTGTCTTTGTTGCATGTTGTTAACTGAGGATTATTTTCATCCCAATCTTTGTACTCATGCAATACACTAACCAAAAAGAGAGAGAAAAAAAAAGGGTAGCTTATAAGAATGGAGACAAAATCATACTCTTCAATAACGTTGATGATAACCAAGTAGACAATACCTGTTAGGCGTAACCTCAAAACCAACAATGCGAGAAGAATCAGACTCTTGATCTCTGTGGTACATGACTCGGAAACTCAAGTGGTTATGGATAAAGTATTTTTTCTCTTTACTCTACAAAAGGAAAGCAAAACTACTCCTGATTGGTAAAAGAAAATGCTCAAAAGGTAAGACTGTAGCCATAGGTTTACGAGACATATTACCCCTTCATAACTCCCTTTGAAGCCAACACGGAAACCATGTTCATAAGTCGTCGACTGAATTCCATCTTTTCTTTGTCTAAGAACAGCTACCGGAAGATTATCAAGAATCCTGCAGTCATTTCAAAATAAAACTAAAAAGGATAAACCAACACTACCTCATAAAAATCAAGGACAACATATAAATCTAAACTTACATATTAGCTCGGTATTCATCATCAATCTTTTCCCTGAAATTTTTAGCAGATTCAGCATCGACTCTAACACGGCAACCTACTCTACAGGGCTGATCCTCCAACATTTCAAACTAAAACAGAATCCAAAGTCTCAACACCAAATCCGAAGATGAGAAGGAAAGAAGAGTAATCATTAATCATATAACATAAGTTGTTTACTTACAGTATAAACCGAATTCTCAATGCGATCTCCTCTAAGAACCTCCCCCAAATTTTCGCCGGTATTCAAGATCTTAGGAGGCTTACAGTAATTCAGGTAGTAGAAATCATAAGGAAGCTGAGTCTTTGTAGACGATAATTTGTTCACTTTGACATATAGAGGATCACCCTGTGATCACAGCACAAGCAAGGTTTGCATAAACATGAGCTCAAAAGCTTCAATTAGACTCACTATAACATTCAATCGTATAATTCAATTGCACATATTCCTACATTCTCTTATTGACAATAGTCCTAAACACTGAAAACGCTTAAAGATCCTTCGACAATACTAAACGCAATAATTTCGCACAGATCTGGATTGCATTACACGCAAAACCAATCGCATTTAACATTGGAACCCTAGATCGATAACGTAATCAAACGTGAGATCGGAATAACCAAAAATGAGTACCTTTTGAAAATCGCGAGGAGCGACACCGGGAAGATAGAAAGCGTGAAGAGTGGAGAAGAAGAATAAGAAAGAGAGTAAGAGAGTGCCGTAGATTCGAATCATGATCGCCATCTTCGTCTTCTTCGTTGCTTTCTTCTTCTTCGACCTCGACGCTTCTCTCAGATAGAGGAAGACAGGAAGTAGCCGAGAGCAATGTGAAGAAGATAGCCAATGTAAGAAGAAAGCGTTTCTTCTTTCAAACGACGTCGTTCTTGCACATTTATTTTTCTTTTGTTTATTTTTCTTTTAAAATGTGAAATAAAATTCACAATAGTAGTACTTATAACATAAAATAGGTTAAATTAAATTTCATACTAATAAATTTCTGCATAAGAATAATATAAACAACAAAAACTAAAATATCTTCAAATTTTGAATTGAGTAGTAAAAATTTTAAGAATGTTAATATCTTCATATAATATGTTATGGTCTTTTATTTATTTTGCTTTCCCGTACAACGTAAAATATTTTCCACTCAAGACTGATTAGGTGAGTGTGAATCTTCACGCTCAATAAATGGTGACATTGACTCGTCATTGATTTGAGCAGACTTCAAGCTCCAAGCACTTAGGCTCAATACATCAACACTTTGAGTTCCTTTGTTGAAGGCAAAAAGATTTGCATTTTCTCCAATTGCTAATTTTGGATACACTCTTGAGGTTATACAAGTTCCGCCTCCTCCACCATAACTCTCCACTATCGAGTGATCAATCTACGAAAAGAAAATGAAAAAACACTAATCACATTTCGTCGCATATGCATCTATTTTAAATACTTGATACATGACACTTTTTTGAGGAAAATCTTTCATATACTAAAACTTACCAAAGTCCTAAGAGAAATTGTTTGGTGAGAAGGGTCTATCGCCACAAAAGCACCAAACGTTGATTTATCATTTTCCTCATTCAACGATGATCTGTGAATACCATTAAAACAAAAATCTTCTCGTTAGAATTTTATGTATATACGAAAAGAATCTAAGTGAATCTTTTGGTCAATGTATAGAGAGACATATATACCTGCTTTGGTCACTGCACATCAACACCACGTACTTATTATTATTATTAGTATCGTCATTTGACTTGAAGATTCTGAAGTAAACGGACGTGTACTCTTCCATGTCATTGGATGCCAAAACCATCAAACCAAATGGTCCAAAACCGGATTTAACCGACAAATCTCCCTCACTACAAATCTTTTGTGGGTCAGCCCAACTCGGTTCAATCACATCCGCTTTTTCCAATTCCTTCACCTTGAACGATACCTCAACATCTGCCTGCTCAATATCAATAGAAACAAAACACACACTCACTTTCCTATAAGAATAACCAAGAAGTTATAGGTCAAAACTAAAGATCTATTCCCATTAGATGCGGCTCATCATTTATCTGGTCTAGGTTAGGGATCGAGTCCTACCTGTGCAGCAGTAACACCATGAACTTGGAGAGTAGATCCTGCTTTGAGAACTTGGTTGTGCCAGTTGACTTGTGTCCCACGCAATGTCTCAATCTCTTCAATTGGCCATTGTAGCAATTGCTTTCCCGATTCATCAAGCCATATTTTCCTTGGAAATGACTATCACAAATCAAGATAACAAAAAAGCACTAGTTAAAAAACCGAACCGAAACAAAGTTCAACAATCATAAACCAAAGTTATCTACAATTCTACATGTAGGGCAGTAGGGCAAATTTAAACGTACCTGAAGACCAGACCAACCCTTCTTAATATCATCTTTAGCCGGAGACGATTCATTAACCCAACCCCACAAGATTCTTCGTTTCTTAACATCATCGTAAAACGTTTTCGACGCGTAATATTTCCCGTAATCTAACCTCGGAGCTGATCCGTTTTGCACAAACCCAAGATCCGGTACGTAAACATCTTTCTCACGATTATAACTCCCAATCGTGTAATAATCATGCGATGTCTCAAACAAACTCACTTTAAGCACATGCTTAATCCCATTCTCACTAAACGACGACGTTTCAACACCGTCTGATCCGATTATTGAAACCGGGAAAAAATCAGGACATTCCCACATTCCGGTTAAGTCTTCGTAATGCAAAGGATTCGTAGATTGCGTCCAGTTGAAGAAATCTCTGCTTTTGTAAAGAATCGCTAACCCTCGACGATCGTCATTCGAGCTTCCGACGATCACTCGCCATTCTCCGTCACGTCCAAGCCACGCGGTGGTCGGATCTCGGAACCGGTCCGGGTTAATTCCGTTAACCGCGTTAGGTGTCATAAGAGGATTTCGCGGCGGTTTTGACCATTCTCGGAGATAAGGATCAGAAACGTTAACCGGAACGGCGACGTTTTGAACTTGACTTTTGTTTTGGTCAATGCCGGTGTAGAGGATCACAGGTTTGCCGTCTGGTAGAATCGTGACGGAGCCTGACCAACAGCCGTTGATATCTGACGGCTGAGATGGATTAAAAGCTGGAGGTTGTGAAATCCAGTTGACTAAGTCAACTGACGTAGAGTGTCCCCACACGATTCTCACATCCCAAACGGCACCGTATGGATTATATTGGTAAAAAAGATGGTATATTCCTTTGTATATCATTGGTCCTACGTACCCAACAAAAAAAACAAATACGTAATTTTATATTTTCTGTACATTGATTTAATAATATTTTTAGAAATATGAATAAAGAGAACTAACCATTAGGATCTGGATTTTTTTTTTGGTCGAATAAGATTTCATCGAACATAACGGAATCAAGAAAAGAATAAAACGATGTTAAATTAGAGGATCGAATTAATAGACAAATCGATGGATTTTTATAGAGTATATAGAAACCAGATCAAGATCGGTACGGGTACATACCGTTCATCCAATTTCTGGGAGGTTGAAAGTGATAACCGGTTCGGTACGGTTGGTTGAGATCTTGATGAGAAGCTTCAAGATGGATGATAAAGTTTGCGAGGAACAAAGATAGTAACAGTGAGAGACCAATGTTGGAACGATTTAATTTCGCCATTGTTGTTCTGTTTCTTTTGTTCTCTCGTTGTTCGGTATAGATGTTTAAGTACAAATGAGTTTATCTTTAAAACTCTCATGTTGTAAAAAAAAAAAAAAAACTCATGTTGTTAGCTTTTCACATGGTTCAAAGAGATTAATAATGGACAAGTGGGCACGTAACTGCAGCTATAAATCCATTAATCAAAGACTAATCGATTAATTAACCTTAATTCGATGACAATTGAGTGAGTACAACTATCGTTAATTTTCAAGAAACACTTAAGTAAAGGACCATTCTCTGTCTAAGCCTATGGGTTTGATGAGAGAAAGATTGAAGCCCATAAACGAAGCAGACCGGAAACGGAAACATTGGGAACGGGGTGTCCGAAAGGTCGTCTGACCGCATGTCTCGCATAAGAGTCAAAACCAATCATGACTCGTTGCTTAGAACCTACAATCCAATCAAATCATGCCACGTGTTTTATTGGTCGTCTACGGTTTCATCGACCTCTCACTTTCACCACCTATAGTCTCTAGATCATCAGTAGATGAGATTCCCTCTCCTAATTAAGTTACAGTAGTCAGTAGATAAATGCCATTCCATAACAAGTAAAAATAATAACAGTATTAGAGCTTTAGTCTATGCTTTATGGAATATTATAGACGATGTTATTTTTCAAGTAAAACTATATAATATATATGTGCACCTTATTTTTTCATTTGTCTTAATCAACCAACGTTCAAACTTATGACTATTATAAGTCTATGATTACAGTTCGAAAATGACATTGGGCAAAGGTTTAGGTGCTGTGGAAAATTATAATAATATATTGGTGCATTTTATTAGTGATTTACATTCAAAAAATAACATTTTCTTACCAAACGTGAATTATACAGCGACACCCTTTTTTTTCAATCAAAACATGGGATTATTGTCTTTCAAGTATACAAAATCCAGAGCCACGCGTTGCCGACGTGGAGACGTGGACCTGAAATTGTTATTGACCTATAGTTTTGCATATTTATTAATTATCACTATTGCATATATTATGATGTGATCAGTGTGACTACGAAATAAACGGTGTTGCCATTATGATAAAGGGATTGGAATAAACAAGCATAACAAATGAAACTACAATGATACTAGTAATTCGTAAAACCGTTGTCAGAAAGCAAAACAATTTAAGGTTAGTAGTGCTTTTAGGATTGTTGTCATTAACAGTCACCAAAAGTACTCTCAAAATATTTTATCCTACTGCAAAATAGATTAAATGGAGTGACTTATATAATCCGTTTATAAGACAAATAGTGTTTTGTATATCGGTGTGAATAGCATGAGAATTTATAATCAAAAGTTCACATTATGGGTGCATGGCCATGGGTGTCACCAAATTGAATGACGCTCTGATGTGAGTGGACATTTATTAAATTTTTTCTTCTAAATTTTTTTCTTCCATATTTTAGATATACTTTTCCTCAAATAATATCGGATCAGGAGATAAGAGATCTAAATAATTTCATTAATTAATATTGATAAATCTGCAGGGTTAACTTTTTGTTAGCTTTATAGTTTAGAATTATGTGTATATTTTGTTCAATATAATACATAGATATTGAGGGTGCCTAAGACAATTGCTTTTGTTAACTAGATAGTTTAGAAATATACATACATGTGTTGTGGTAGACCGGTCATTGGTCCACCTGGCGGGTGATGAAACCCCGACATTGGTCCTGATGCTCTAATATGTGAAAACAGCGCCTAAACAACTAACATACAAATTTACTTAGTCATAACACAACTATAACAAATCCATTTCTTTTTAATATGTAAAAATTATTTAAGAAATCTGTAAGTGTACTCGTCTATCTTCATTGCGCTGCGCAAGAACTATGTATAGTGGTTTCCTTCCTATCATTTTCCCATTCATTTCACCCAGCTATATTGTCACATATGTAAAAATTTCTCAGATATCAAAAGAGACTAACGATAACAAAATAATATATTACAGTTTTTAAAATCACGGCTCTTAAAGCTTCTTTACATTTGGAATAAGCAACAAAATCAAATTAATTATATTAATATCTATATCTACAATAAAAAGTGAAATATGTATTATAATCAATCTTAAAATTCCAGACCATTATGTATAATTGCAAATTTTCAAAGGTGTACTCATTTTTATTTATACCCACGTAGGATATACCATAAATAAAACATGGATTAAACTCTTAAAATGGTTGGAAAAATAAATTCGTATAATGACACCATAACAGTATTAATCAAAGTTTTTGGTCAGTTTTTGTTTCAATTTGAAAATATAGATAACTAGGTGATTGCCCGCGCAAATGCGCGGGAAGAATGTTGTATGAATGGTAAAATCATGTGAAATAAGGGATTGTTTAGGTGTTACTTGGTAGTGTAAGAAAAATATGGTAAATTGTTTAGGGTTTAGTGTGGTAAAAATATGGAAAATGATGAAATTTAAAAAATTCAATATAATATTATAAATGCTAAGAAAATAATAATAAATCATCTTTTAAAAGCATTCACCAAGAAAATAAGAAATCAACGAACATCATCACTCCATGGCATTCTCCTTCCGTGTGATGATCGGTACTTGGTCATTTTCAGGATACCTGACATCCGATTTAGAACACCATAAACAGTGAATGTTCAGTCGCCAACTTTAGAGTTTTGATTGTAAACGGAAAAAAAATACTTACCAACAAAGCATCTCGTCGGTAATACTGAGATCCGGATTCAACATAATCCTCGTACTTCCGGTAACATTGGTACATCTCCACTTATGTTCCTGTGATAGCTCTAATTTCACAAACTTGATAATACATATCACTGTGTTACGTGAACGATGCTTCCATAAGTCATAGAACTCGACTGCAAGGTCACCCGTTAAACGACACTCTAGATGGATACACCTAATTTTAAGATTTGAAGAAGCCATAAGACTTTATATTCTGGTTTAAATCTTTAAAAGAATAGTGACTTACTCAGTATCACGTAAACCAAAGTACAGCTCAAAATATCCTCCTTGAGAATGTTCCACGGAAGGAACAAAAACCAACTCTCTCACGTTGACAATTTTGCCAACAACATCTATGAAACACACACATGAATAATACAGTCAGAACATGAACCGCAAATAAACTCCAAAAGCAAAAATAAATTTATAAATTAGGCTTACCAACGCAAATATTCGGATTAACAATACCACTCAATATACTCACAAACTCAGTTAGATTGAAATAGGTTCTATTGGAGCACATATTAATACTTTGCACTAAAGTGTCCGAACGAAACACAATCTTGAATCTATGCGGTACTGGTCTCAATATGCTGTTAACCCGTGATACATCAAAATTTTTAATGCTCACCCACTCATCGATTATCAATCTTGAAAGATAATTATCAATTAACTCATCACGAACAACGGCTTGGATTTGGGTGAACTGCAAATAAAACGTTAAAGACAAAACCAATTCAATTTAATATCGAAAACATGTATAGAAGGTAAGTTATCAAAAACTAACATGCTCGTCACCCAAAATCATATTGAGCTCTCTACCCGAGCCACGCGAAACAGACCAACAATTCAAAATCTTCACCGAGACAGACCACTCACCCATGTTAGGGTTAAGAGACGCAATATGAAAATAACCACCATCACATGAATCAGAGGTAAAAGGTATCATTGTAGAACCCATATCAAAAGATTACGCGGCTAAACAATCCAATGAGGTATAAACGCGCGATACGTATATGTAGACCTAACAATTATTTGGAAAGAACATAAAAATGGAAAATATATATTAAAAACTAAATCAGGAAATTAACAAAAACGAATATTGATTAAACGATATAGAATTTATCCATAAGATTAATAAGTTAAGTTTAGAAAAAAGAAACTAAATCTCAACAGTTAAACTGAAATATATACTAACGAAATTTAAGGGTAAAAATATATCACTCTATTATCAACACCATAATAATAATATATACAAATGGTGTAAGTTATTAGGCACGCAAATACAGTTCCATTTTACCTAACGACGGAAACCGAAACCACACGATGCATTTTGACGAACAACCTTTTTGAATGAGTAATACAAAAAACAATAACCAATGAAAAGGTATGTATGTCGCCTCAAACAGAGTTTTTAACTAATATCATATAACATCTTTTAGACTAAATTACCAAAACTCACTAAAAGCGAAATATATATAGAACCATAACGCATATTCAGAAACTATACTATATAAATAAAATGGTAACTATTAAAAATGTCAATTTAGTATTTAACACAATCGATGCATATCAAAACAGTATCCCTAATTGTATAGATTGGTTGACATACTTTAAACGCGAGAATACAATAACATTACCAACCGCAAACCATGCTTAGATATATATACAGACCAAAATAAAATTATCCGAAACAACAAATGTCTTAAGAAAAAAAAAAGGAGTAGATATTTGTTCAATACAGTCGTCCCGACATAATTATACATAACGATATGAAACATACTTGCTAGCATCCATAATCAAAGATAATAAAGATAGATTGACTTTCAACGGGATCTTCAAGCATTGTTCATTGCGAGCCTAAATAGACAACAAAACCAAAACGACCATACTGTTAGTCCAATAAATACGACTCGTAAATAAAAATTGGAAACGAAGAGATTCACAGCTCATATAGCTTACATCTCACGAATATCATCGGCCTCGGGAATCTCGGGTTCAGGGTAGACAGTCGATATAGGACCACTGCTACAAATCCTTACATTTTTAGGGCCACCAAAGTAACGATCGACTTTCCACCATCCAAGTACCGCGACAATAACCCCACCTCCTAGCATATGATAGTTACGATCGAATTCTAGAGCCTCTCGCTTCACATCCAAACATTCCAACACCTCATTTCTACACCAACAGAACACGACACCAATTAAATAACCAAACATTCAATGGTACGAATCTCTATAAACATAAAACAATACTCACTCTTTGTTCCTGAGCTTAAACAAAAT